ATATGACACATTGAATTTATTTACCATAACAGCTAAAGTTAGGAGTGTTTGGCTAGGCATCCATGTGCAGTATTTCTTGTGAAGTGAGTTACGCTCTTGGCATGTATGTATGGAGGTTTTCTGGGTTGGGCAAACATGCACTCAACTGCAAGTCAGTGGGAATCCTGAAAAGTATACAAGTGGTGGCTAAGTGGGAAACTCAGGAGGGAGCAGAAGGTAGTAAGACAGGATGGTTACTACAGAAAAAGTTGATCATCATCTCTTAAAATAATGCAGATGCTACAGATAAAAGCAGGGGAGAGAGAACTTGGAGGAAGCTTCCTAAAATGCAATGGTCACAAGGGTTAGAATACCTGTGCTTTTTGTTAGCTTTTAGAAATGGCAACTCAGAGTTAGTGTTGGAAGAAATTGGATGTTGCTGTGTCCTCTGAATTTTTTCTTAGGTAGGCTTTTGAACGTGGGATAAGTATGAGAAAGAGGTTTGGTTGGTAAGGTTGTAATTTCACAATAATTTATTTTGAAAGTAATTTAATTTTCAACAACATTGCTACTTATTCTTGCATTCTATTTTGCCCCTCAGTTCTGTGCTTTTTCTAAGATGATTATTATTTAGTACTTTTACATAGAAAAACTTGCTGAATTGTTCCAGTGATTGACACTGCATTTCTCTAGAAATAAATTTCTCTCCTTAAGAACAGTTGAAAAGCAATAAATAAAGCATATGGCCACTGAATATCAAGAAAAAACTTCTCTAATGGCAGTGCATAGTGATCATTGATGCTAGAGTAATGTAGGGATTGTGTAGGAAAACCAAAGGTTCCTCATTAGATTATATAAAGTTAGCACATTACCAGTTAAAAATTGAGCAATATAAATAGAGCTTTAATTCAGTAATTTCATTACTTGTGAGTGGTTTAGTTTACAATTTTAATATTGTTTAATATGCATTATAATGAAATGGCATAGGAAATCTTTTATCTCTTCCAAACTTCTGTTTTGCAAATATTTCATTGCTAAGCTTCCTCAATTATAATGCTTTTATTGAATTAGAAAATACTGTCTCCTTTCATTAGGGGCTTTGGAAAGATTCCTAGTTCTTTCACTGTGTAAAGTTTGGTGAAGTGTTTTCATTTCAGAGTTACTTTTAAGCAAGTACTGTTCATGTTCAGTTCAATCCATTACTACATTGCTTTTGACACCTGTAACTCACTAGAAGGCAAAATACTAACTGTTGAAAAATATTGGGTTTATATCTGTGTTAAATCAGCTTCTACAAGATAAACTTTGAAAAATGTATTCCTTTTTACATGTTCACAACTTTCAGCAGAAAGCATTTTTCTTCATTGCACAGATGGTTATTTTAGTCTGACTTGTGCTGGTGGCCGCTTTCCCAGTCCTTAGAGTATACAGTCATTGTGAAATGATCTGATTTATTTTCTATTTCCTGGCTCTCTATTTGAATCTCTTAAAATGTGTTCTGGAAGCTACTTCAGCATTCAACTAAAAGTTACAGTCTCCCAGTCTTCATACAGGCATCTTGATGGCCATTTTGACTACAGGTTAGGAGTGTTAATGGATATATGTGTTTTAATAATATCTACTGAAAGGATTCATATGTGAAGTTTGGAGATGCATTCTGAATTCCTGCCTCGTTGACTGCTGTCTTAGTGATGGTTGTTTTATAGCTGACTAGCCAAAATCATTTCACAGGACAAAACTTTTTCCACTTAGTGCTTACTTTCTTATTTTAATGGTAAAAACAGCTGTGATTTTTTTTTTTCCTTCTGTATAAAGAAGTTAGTACATCAACTTTAGTATCTATTGCTAAAATTCTTTGTAGTACAAAAGACAGACTTTGGGTTCGACTGCATTTATGTTTTGCAGGCTACCAACTGTGCATCTACTGCTAAAGGTCTCACCAATAAGTTAAGAGTCAGAGTTGTTTCTTTGCAGAGGTTTGCCAAAGTCTTCTGCTACTTTACGGAGCAAAATGGAAAAAGGGCTTTCTGATCCAAGCTATATTCAACAAAGAAACATTTCAGCAGTGTTTCTGGAATAGGTGAAAAGCTGGGGGGAGTTTGGAGGTGTTTTTTGAGGGGAGTGTTATATTTTTTCTTGAGGTGCATTGTTTCAGATCACCTCTGTCTCTACAACTCTCCTGCTCAATCAAAGGAAGAGGGAGATGTGTTTTGTGAGGTGATTTGAGATGTCCATGATTCTTTCTAGAACCTACTTTTCAGCTGCTTGTTCTTCCAAGTTTTTTGTGTTAATTCCCATGGCTGTGTTTTTTAACACAGGGACTAACATTGCCTGTGTTAATTCCAAATTTTAGTTTTCTGATATGTAAGGGTTGGACAAGCAAAATGCATGTGTTCTAAGCAGGCATTGTTGATCATTTAAAAGAAAAGAAAAATCTGATATGGAGCAACAATGCCTTTGGGCTGTGGAAACACCTTCATGAAATCTTCAGATACATCATTTATATTGCAAAGTCATTTGTTAAAGAAGAGTTGAACAAGATAGGAATGAGTGGAGCTCTCATCTCAGTGGTAGCTCGCTACTGTTTTCTTTTTAAACTTCCTAAAGATGGAAAAGTTAGCATATTTTCAGAATTACTTGCCTCATAGGAAAAAATATAGTCTTAAACTAGTAACTTAGAATTATTATTGATCACAAATAATATCCTGTGTCTAAGTAGTACATAATAGTCCATCTTTCACTGTACATTAATGCACAGAAACTGTGAAAGTGACTATAAAACATCTACTTTGAGGTGAATGCTTTATCGTGTTTTGTCTTCTTATGCCACATCTCTTAATGCTTCAAATAATGTATCGACTAAATATATTAATAGCAAGTTCTAAACTGCATTTTTTTTAAGATTATACTTACAACATTTTTAAGTGTGATGAAGTGTTTTTGGTTATATGGTGTGTTGTAAAATCCATCATTTATTGTACTAAACCTTTATGGTTGAGCAACTAACAGCCTCTGCAGAGAAAATACTAAATCAGACTGTAATTTGTACATCATACTCAAGAGAGAAATTTACCTTGTGCACAGATATTCAAAGGCTTCTACTTTAGGCCTATTATTTTATAGGCAATGTCAGAAATATAATTTTTTTTACAGAACTGTAACTTTTATTTAGTTTAAATTAAGTTCAGTCAGTTATATCTATTTTTGAAGTGGTTCTGGCTGCATTTTGAATAGCGTCTTTTTCTGTCAAAAGTACAGATAAATTAATAAATCTTAAGATGAAGTAAATTATAACTAAGATACAAGTTACTTTAGTGCTACCAAGGCTTATAATTTGGTTATTTGCGATGATTTAGATGTTTTGTGAACCTCATGGTTTGTTTTTTTAATTTCTCCATAAGTCTGAAATTGGTCTGTCTTTTCTTGCTGCTGATGTTATGCCTTATGTTCACTTTACATTAACTATTAATGATTTTTTATAAGCTCCTTCATTTATTTCTTTATATATTATTACTATTTTTCTTCCTGCATACATTTCTGAAACCAGGAAGGATGTTGAAATAAAGGTGTACTTTATTGGGTTTACTGAATTAATCCTCTACCTACTATTTTTACAGATAATACTTACTATTTAGGTTGAAACCTTTTCGTCTTTGAGTAGAAGTGAGAGTAGTTTCAAACTGATTTTAATGTTTCAGCTAAATTTTACTAGCTTTGCAGGCATTCCCATTAGTAGATGATAATTATTATTATTACCACCACACTTACAGTCTTGCAAATGTGTCTCATGGTTTTCTGTTACATGTTGTGCCTTCCTTGATGGAAAGATTCCTTGAAATACATATACATTTTTTAAGAGTACCCAGGCTTCCTTGGTTTGTATGTGTGTTTAAAAAAAAACCAACACTGTTTCGTTTGTTCAGTCATCTAAGTTATCACAGCTGCAGCCAAGGGGCAATTTTCTTATTTTCTTCCTGTAAGATAGCTTAATGTAGTTGACTACAGAACTATATTTTCACAAGAGCAATTGCTCTTAGCTGACACTCTAGTGCATGTCACAGGCATTATTGGCACATATAATAGCAAATTCTCAGCAAATACTTTTAAGTATTTCTTTCCCCTCATAGTTTTCACCATTCCAGTGATCATTCTTCACCTGGGATTGTGTAGCATACATACTATGTTGATCACACTTTGCAGTTGACATATAAATTTATATCTTGCAAGATTCCTTGGGTAAATGTGTAGTTTAACGTCTGTTGCTTGTGGAGCAGTGGGCACCAGAGATGACTTAAGATGACCCGCAGAAATAACGGCAGGAGAAGGAATGGGATCTCCTTTTGGCATCAGAACTTGTTACCTTTGTTAACAATTTAAGATCGGCTTCAAATTCCCTCCATCAAACTGGAAATGGAAAGATTTTCAGGTGTTTTGTTCAGCTGTCATGACTCTGTATGTGAGATGATAGAGTGACTCAAAGCCAGAGCTCTTAGAAATAAACGTGCCTGCACATTGTTTGTCTAAACCACAGAGGCTTGAGACAATCTTTGAGAAACCTGAAGAAGAAAACTGCTTAGAGTAATATATAGTTGTGTCAAAATGATGCAGTTTTCTTGAATTACTTCTGTATTTTAGTTTTTCTTATTCATAATGTGTTTTGAAGTATTAATCCTTGTCATTAGATGATGGTAAATTATATGCATTGGAGGAAAGAGAGGTGTGGGGGTGTGTTTGGTTTATGGCTATTGTAAAGGATGTTTGAAAGATGTTGTAGACCAGAAAGAAATCTCATAGTGTCAGTTTTAGGTGCAGAAATAGTTATCCAGCCTGAAGATGTAATTGGTGTAAGTGAAGAAGTGCAGGGACATGTTGCGTTTGCTGGATGCACTTGATAGAGGAGCTGTCTGAAACTGAAGTGACTGTAGCAGAAGCTGTGGCACAGTCTGACAGAGCGAATAAATTTCCAGGACAAGATGGTGCAACTGGAGAGCTTTTAGAAGAACTCAGGGATGAAGAAGTCATATGATGAATGTCTGAAGTCTTTCTTAGAATGAACTTGATTTTTGAGGACTGGAGGGATGACAAATGCTCATTTATGTAAGTGCATCACCACCTACATGTTTCCAAGTCTGATGTTTGTGTTGAACAAATCAGTAGAATCTATAATAAATATATTGGCTACCTGGATAAAGATACAGGTAAATTTACATCATCTCTAATGGGAAGCTCTTCCCCACAAATCTTTGGAGTTCTTCAGAATCAGCAAAATATTTACAAGAATGATCCAGTATAATGAGACATAGATGCTTTTTTAGAAGGTGTGTCTCAGTCCCTTGCCAAAGGCATTTGATGAAAATACCCTGTCAGTCTTCAGTGGAGGATCATTGTATCAGTAGTTAGCTTGCTAAAGGATATAAGAGAGTGTGGAAGTAAATGGTTCTCCTTCTCGGTGAAGGGGAGTCATTGAGACCTGTAATGCGCAACTTATTTCTTAATGACCTGTAAAACTGTGAGTAAGGGGTTGATATAGTTGGGTGAGTTGATTGATGTAATAAGGATGAGGGTAAAACAAAGAATTCTGGAAGAAGTTTATGAAACTAATTAGGCAATAAAATGGCAGCAGCAGCACATTGTAGAAAAAAATGAAAAATGTATCGGGGTGAAAACAATTCTGTCTTAATATATAGGATGATCGGCACTGAGCTGACCAGGAATCTTAGATTCTTGGCACAAGTGATAAAGACAGGTCAGGGAAATTGTAGGAAACAGACATCATTATTCCACTATGTAGATTTGTGACTTGTCTGTGTGTTGAATACTGTTTCAATTCTGGTGGTCTTACCTCACAATTTGAGTGTAATAAAGCTGGAAAGAGTTCAGAAATGCTTAAGGTGGCACAAATGACTTTTGTGTGAAGAATAATTAAGTAAAGCATGGGGTTTACATCTGTAAGGAGGCATTTAGTTTTCTACATAGTAATGCTAAAGAGAAGGTTAGGGAGGGATTGATTACACGTGGTAGAGAGGGTAGGTAGGGATTGATTACTGCGTGTTTCACTGTAAGAATTGAGGAATATCAAATAAAGCTGTCAGAAGGTGTTTTCAAAATGAGTGAGATGAGGCATTCTTTATGGAATGGAGCATTGTACTGCGAAGCCTCTTGTAAGGAGTGTTGCCGATACCACCAGAGAACTATGTAGCTCTATAGAAAGCAGGTCCTTCTAAGTAAGGAAACATCAAGCTATGCAAAGGATTTCCTACCTTGAGGATAATTTGCATCTGCTGACTGTCTGTGCTTGGAGGATAGGGTACTTGGCTAGATGGGCCTGATCCAGTTATTTCAATGAAAGAGGGGATTCATAGTTATGTGTTCCTTAGAGAGAAGAAAGGATAGATAGGAATGCTTGCTGAGCTTATTTGCAGATGTTTTAAAAAGATTACATTGAGAAGTAGGATGAAAGTGTGAAGAATGGCTGGGAAAGGTGGCACAACCTGGGAGAAGTGAGTGTGTGTGTGTGTGTGTGTGTGTGGCTGGAGGTGGCAGGGGAGGAAATTGGAAACAGGCATGTGCTGCCTGGTTTGGAAAACCAAAATGGGTACAGAAGAGAAGAATGTCGAATGTACAGATTTGTTCTTTAATACTTAATTTTCTACTACACCAATTGGGTTTTTCCATTAGAACAATCCTAGACTGATATATTTATTTCAGATATTAAATATGTAAGCTTGCATGGTACTTAGGACATATAACATAGAAAATCCTCTTTTTCTCATTGGTAATGTTTAAGCAGTGCTGTTGTATACACCTCAAGACAATGAGCTAGGCATTGTAGTTTGATATACAGGCTGCTAAACAAAAATATTTATGCCAGAAGTGTAAGCTGCAGCAAATAATTTTGTTACCATACTTATAATATATTGTTCTTGTCTCGTTTTGTTTACAGGATTTTGAGTAACAATAAAATAACAGAGTTGAAGAATGGCTCCTTCTCTGGATTACACCTTCTTGAAAGATTGTAAGTACTTCTTAAAAAGCTATTTTCACTTTAAAAATTAAGTGATATACTGTTTAGGTTCCATTAATAATTCTGAGAACAAAATGTCTTAAAGGACATCAAGATAAAGAACATATATTTCTTTGTGTTTGAAGAGTTAACATAGTTAAGCGTTCTCTTTATGAATGGCATGTAACAGCAAAAAGGGATTATCTCACCTGCAGGTGAGAGGGCAGCTTCAGTGGGAAGTTCGCTGGAATGATATGACGAATGGATTTGCTTTGTTGGTGGTGGTTTTGTAATACAAAAGCTTATGTTATTAAAAAAATTACTTCTTTAATTTCTTTTCTTATGAAGTGTCAAACCCTTTGTCAAACAGTTGCAAAGTATATTTGTAGGGGAAGCGGATGTATTAGAGCCTCTAAAAGAGGCTAGATTTATGTTGTTTGTTGTTGACATATATTTTAAGTTTTAGTGCTTACTTCACAACTTTGGTATATACTGAATGTACGGGGGGCAGGAGTGAGTCTGATGGGAGTAGCTTCTTGGATATCTTTTGCTTCCTGTTTTCACTTTCCCTTTCAGATGACATATTGCCTACGGGATAAGAAGCAGCATTGTAGCTTCTGTTACAGTCAGCTTTTTTCCAGCTGGTAGAAGTTCAGGATTGGCAGGTTGATCTACCTGGGAGCAGGCATAAACTTTAGAGATAAGGGTTTTTCTAGGCCATTTGACTGGGAAAGTAGCCAGTTTCATAATCATCTCACAGCATCTAGGAAGAGTTCCAAACGACTTTTGACTTCAGGGGATTAAAAGTATTTTATTCTTCCTCTAAAACTTCAGGGCTCCAATCCCAGTCACCTGACCTAAATAAATTCAAACACTTCCACCACTTCCTCTCCCACGTACCAGAAGAAAGATTTGTCTTTGCACTGGCAGATGAGCTTTATTGGAGAAGTAAGCTGTTGTGCCAAAGAAGCCAGGCTATCAGCAGTGATGGCATTTGCTTAGGTAATAAAGGCATCTGCTGACAGTTGTTATTTGTTGAAACTCATTACAATTTTCAGACAGGAAATACTTGAAACTCTAGTTAGATTGAGATGATAATTTATATTTTCTCCATGAGTCCAAATCCTAATTTTCTTTAAAATCATACGAATGTGGCTTTCTTCCATTTAACTCCTGTGATTTGTAAGGTTTTTTTAATATATTTTGTAAGGGTTTTTTTTTTGGTTATTTTAGTATCTTCTTTCATGAAAAGGCAAAGACATCAGGAAGGCATCATTTTTGGAGCATTTAAAGTGAGCTGGGATAGCAGTAATTTAGAAGGTATGGTGGTCTCATCTGAATGAGAACTCTTTTTATATGCACTGCTGTAGGAGTTAGTGCATCAACAAAGGATTAATAATGGCCAGGTGTCTTCATCGTAAACGGAGGGAGAAATTGTGTGATACACTAGTTATTAATGATTATTTTTTGTTGTATGTGTAAGACTTATTTAAAAGCAATAGATATTTAGCTGTAATAAAAGTAAACTTTTCTGCCTTAAGTGCTCTTGGACAGAAACTACTATTTTACCTAAAATAATTTTTCAAACTTAAATGGATAATCAAGAGTAAAAGGAAAATTAGTTGAAAGCCACAGAAACTATTTTAAACATTCACATTATGTTGAACATAACTCAGTTTCAAATGGTTTTCCTTAATTTTCATTGTGATAACTAACAAACCTTGAAAATTGCATTTTTTTGACAGTTTCTTGCTTATTTTTATTTTTTTCTTGTTACTCATACTTCGTATTGTTTCCTTATGAGTGTTTTCTTTCTTTGTAGATGAGTTCTTTTCCCCATGTTTAATTTATGAGATGAAATGGAGATAACAGAAATAAATTCAGTCAGCATTTAAATAGTTAATTCAGACAGTATCATTGTAATTTAACATTACTGTTTACTAGGAGAGCAATTTTATATGCATTTCATTTATGTTTGTTCCTTTTTTGTGATGTTGTACTTGACAGCAAAAATATTCGCCATTTCTCTTTAGTGGTTTTCAGGTAGACTTTAGATGTATTGATATATTTAACTAAGGCCTCTGAAAAAAGTAAATTAAATGAATGTCAGGAACATGTGTCTGCATAATAATTGACTGAATTTTAATCAATAATCACAACTTCATAATTCATTTGGTAATGTACTAAACTTGTTTAGTTCTTGGACATTTTAATAAAAATTTGCCTTTTTTGAAATGGTTTCTGTTATTTTATTAATTTTTCAGGTAAACTTGGATATATGGTGTCTACAACTGGCAAGTTCTTGCACTTTAGGTTATCGTTTTACTCAAATGTGATATCTCTTGACTTTATCCCCGTCTGACAATTCTTCACTGTTACTATTGAAAGGGGGAGATTGTTTTATTTGTTGCTTGTATGCACCAAAACTGTGAGGAAGTACATTAAAAATGGTGGCCCCAAGTAGCAATTTCAAATCTATTTGTTAATAATTTTTTTTGTATATGTTAACTTATGAAAGTGTGAATTTGTTAATCCATTATTTTGTGAAGAGGTGGATAAGCTAACCAAAATAAGAGTTTTATTTTACTGGAGGGTGAAAATGTGCTGGTTTAAAGGTAAACCGGTGGGGGAAATGAACCCAACTCAAAAGAGAGATTATAAATCAGAATAAGAATTTAATAAAATAATACAATAAGTACGATTATACAGACAAACAATTGGTTTTAACCCACAAAACCCAAATGTATAACCCAGCACCCTGGGGCATGAACAGAGTGGTGTTTGTTTGGCCCCCTGAGTCCAAAGTAAAAGGAGAGGGGAAAACCTGTTGGTGGGAGTGGTGGTTGTAGTCCAGTCAAAAGTGGTGGTTGCAGTCCGGTCGAGAGCGGTGGTCTGCAGTCTTCCTCTGGATCCCACAAGTGGTTAAAAAAGTCCCAAGACTCCAAGATTATATGTTCTCCAGTTCAGGCAGGAATGCCCAGCACTTCCCTCAGGGCGGGGAGTTCCACAATGGGTGTGAGGACAGGAGCACCCTCCTATCTCACAGGCCTCTTAACACCTAGTTTATAGGTTGAGGAGTCAGGCTGCTCTGGGTAGAGGGTGTAAATAGTCTATTGATACCAGTTTCTGGGAAATGGCATGGAAGGCTATAGAATACACAGTTTTGGGTTACACCCATACAGTGATGAGCTGCTCCCATCTGTTCTAACTAGGACAGAAATGTTTGTTAATTATAGTAGGAAATGACTATGCTATGTCTATATCTACTTTTGCAGGAAAGAAAGCATGCAAATAATAGTAATCAGGTCAAAGACTTCAACTGTGCTAAGTGGTAATAAAAGTGTCTGTACAAAAATATGCTAAATATTTAATGTCCTGTGACATTGTTATGCTATATTTTGATATTAGTTCAAAATTCAACAAAGGCAGATGCAGGGTCCTGCACGCATTCACGAGTACAGGCATGGGACCAACCTGCTGTAAAGCAGCTCTGCAGAGAAGGACCTGGGGATCCTGCTGGACAACAAGGTGTTCATGAGCCAGCAGTGTGTCCTTGTGACCAAGAGGGCCAGTGGTATCCTGGGGTGCATTAGGAAGAGCACTGCCAGCAGGTTGAGAGAGGTGGTCCTGCCCCCCTGCTCAGCCCTAGTGAGGTGCACCTGGAGTGCTGTGTCCAGTTCTGAGCTCCTCAGTACAAGAAAGACATGGAGCTCCTGGAGAAGGTTCACTGGAGGGGTATGAACGTGATTAAGAGACAGGAGCATCTTTGGTACAAGGAAAGGCTGAGGAAACTGGGCCTGTTCAGTCTCATGAAGAGATAACAGAGGGGACCTCATCAATGTCTATCAATATCTGAAAGGAGGGTGCCAAGAGGATGGAGCCAGGCTCTTCTTGGTGGTGCCAAGCAATGGGACAAGAGGCAATGGGCAGAAACTGATGTACAGGAAGTTCCACCTGAATATGAAAAGGGGTTTCTTTACTGTGTGGGTGACCATGCACTGGAGCAGACTGCCCAGAGTCTCTCTCACTAGAGATATTCAAGAACCATCTGGATGCAATCCTGGGCAATGTGCTCTGGGATGACCCTGCAGGGAGGTTGGACCAGATGACCCACTGTGGTGCCTTCCAACCTTACCCATTCTGTGGTTCTGTGAAACAAAAAAATTGAGTCATGAACCTCTGTTGTATTTGCCTGCGTAAAATCTACACCCTATAGAGGTGTGGGAAGGATTGGAAGACTTTTGTGTAATGTTAAATCTATTTCTGCAACTTCTTACTTTGTCTTCTTGCCTCACTTCCCTTTTGAAAAGGCATTCCATTATAGGAAGAGTCCATGGTAGCTCATATGTTTCCTGTTTGACATTGATTTTCAAATTGTGTTAAGGAAGAAAAGATAATATATCCAATGATAGTTGAGAAAGCTAAATAATGTATACATATTGGTATGTGTATATATGCATAGTTTGTTTGTGCCTGCAGGATGCTTTATTAATAATTAAGACAGTATTCATTGTGCTGAGACAGAAAGCAGTAAATTTTTAAGTATGTATACGTGCACTCAGTTGGTTAGAACTTGGTGCTGATTACACGAAGGTTGTGGGTTTGAGCCCCATGTGGGCCATTCACTTAAGAGCTCGAATCAGAGATCCTTGCAGGTCCCTTCCAACTCAGAAGATTCTGTGATGCTAACTTTTAAATCATAGACAACTAGCTACTAAAACATTTCATTTTAAAGTCTAATGGAACAAAAGGATTTTTTTTTCAACCATAGTTAAATTTAAGTAATCTTTCATTAGGATATTTTTCACATCTTAACAAGAACATTGGATGTGGCATTGAGGCTCTTAAAAATGTTTTTGCTTGTTAGGAAGTTGCTATTTGCCCGCTTAATCATGGATTTGATAAAGGACTGTTCCATTTGGACACAACAATATCTTTTATAATGGAAACGGTTAAACAGAGGGTTGTGTGATGGTAAAATCAGCATCCTTTGAGGTTTTCAGGGCTTTACTGTACGTAACAGTGGGGCAGTTCATCTGATTTAGTTGTACTTTGTGCCACAGTTTGAACTACATGACTACCCTCAACACACTCCTTAAAACCTAAGTTTTTCTACTGTTGTAACATCAGTTAGTCACCTTCACTGATAAATTTGGGGCATCCTTACTTGCATTCTTATTTAGATCTAGGAGAAAATTTAGAATCTTTCAATAGGTTCTCAGTGTCAGATTGCTTACTACCCCTTTTTTTTTTTTAGCAGTATTTTTAATTGCTAGACAAAAGATGTAGTTACTGTAAGATAAAAGATGTTACCCTAACTCAAATCCTCGTCTTTTGGGTTTTTTTGGACAGGTTTTCTTCTATTTGGGCAAATAAGTATATCTTGTCAGTTGAACTTTGCCAAGGAAATTTAAAATCAAAGTCTGAGATGATTAATTTTCTGTTGCTAAAACTATTTATAAGTATTTATAAGCATAAAAACAATGAAAACTTCAAATCCAAATGCAACTTCCTAATGAGATTGTCTCTCTCCCACCCTTTTATGTGAGAATCATGTAAGTGTGTTTGATTTAACCATTACTGTAATTTCTTCATGTCAAAACTGCTCTAGATGCTGGAGTCCTGGTAGTTGTACCAACCTGTGTGTGAATATCTTTTACTGTTTCTGAAGGGCTGCCAGACATGTCACTGTTAATTTTGACATCTTTAGGTATCTCTTATTTCACAGTTTTCCTTTCCTAATACTTTTTGGTAGATGGATGCGTAGCTAGTGCCTACAAAGGACTGCCACTGGGAGGGATAAAAAAAAACAAAACAGAGACTCCCCGACTGTTGTAGTTGCAGATTGAGAAAATTCCAACACTTTGGACATTCATCTCTATGAATCCATTGCAATGGATTTCAGAAAGAGCTTTATCAGGGAGTACTCTTTGACTTTGTGGAGTGAAATTAAAGATCAGTGATAGCCTAGACTAGTGGATTTCCAAGGCATGTTGTCAAGGTTTTTCTCCCTCAGTGTTTTCAACAGTGAGATTTTAAGTGGGAGTTACATGATTTTAAGCTGAAATTTTAAAATATGAACAGTAAGTATAATTTTTCTTCTCTACTCCAAAGACTGTTGGTAAATAAACAATTAATAACGTTTAATATTCTCAGATTTGTCATGGTGTGGTACTGTGTTTAAAAGTCTGCTGAAAGAGCCAGTTCTTCAGGCTCCTGATACTGCCATTGTACAGGGCAAGAAAATAAAGTTGGGATAAGAGAAGTGTGTATATGAAAATTAATTTAATGTATTGCAAGGTAAATTTAAAGTATTTCAAGTATTAAAAATTTTTATTTACAGCTTCAAGTTTGATCCACATGCCATGACATTGTTGTACTATGATTAGTTAATCTGTCTGCAGGAAATGCTGTTGTGAAATCTTGGGATGAATTATATTTTCAGTCATGCATGTCTCTGTGATGGTAGATGTTATCCTCTTGTACTGTTCTCTTTCAGGAAGAATTAATGTTGTAGTAGATTTAGGAGATGTTTTTTCTACTCTTGCATATTAAAACAGCTTTTAAATGAAGTCACTAATTTTCCTTTTGAATGCAAAATGTTCAGATATTACCAAGGAATGAGAAATTTTACTTGTACTAATACGTGTCTGTGAAGTTTCAGATAGTAGTCTAATAAAAATCTTCGGTGAATAAGGAGGTAGAAATAATTTTAGCATTCATGCAGTGATAAAGTTTGTTCAAAACCATATAATGCTGTCAGCTGCTTTCTGTGACCTTTCAAATTAAGCTGTATCTTCAGAATATCTCAAGTTGGGAGTTAAAGATCCTGTATCACTTGTAAAGCAATTTAATGCCATGGTTACTTTACATTTCTCCTTAGAGTCCCTGGGAATTTAAGATTTAATAATCTGCTCTGGAGTTATTTCACCAGCTTTGTTTGGGATCTTCAGCCAGGGCTTTGCTTTTGTGCCAGCAATGTAGGTGGAAATTTGCAATGTTGTGTCATCAGTGTATTTTTAGGATCATGTTTTGCTCCTTTTGGTAGATGTTGGGCACTACTGAAGTACTGAAAGTTGGATAGACTAAAGAAGACAACATTGTGCTAAACAGTATCGTACTGTGTAATGAACAAATGTCTCACCCTGTGTAACTGTAAGCTATTCAGACACAGTGGAAAAGTATCTTTGACTCTATACTCTTTCATGTGATATGAACTGATAGTATATTTAAGGGAATACATGCTGTTTCTATTCCTCCTTATAGTTAAAATACAGATTTTCAAATTTTGAAAGATGCTACATCAAAGAAAGTAAAAATGTGGGTTGTTTTTTTTTTTTTCTTGGAGATTCTCAAATAAATTAAGGCAAGTTTGGTGTATCTTCATGCATGTATATCTGTTTTAAAGTGTAATTTATGGTACATGTAATGTCTTAATTTTTCCCCACAGGGATCTTAAGAACAACCTTATTAGTACTATAGATCCAGGAGCTTTTCTGGGGCTTTCATCTCTGAAAAGACTGTAAGTACTATATCTAGCTAGTCAGTTTAAACAAAACAAACACAACAACCCTCAGAGAGAGTAAGTCTTAGGTTCTGGAAATTTAGACAGCAAAGCTATTATATATTAAAAGTTGAATATATATATATGCTGTCTAAATTTATACACACACTCATGCACACATGTGTAAAACAAAGCCTGCTTTCAGTCTTATGCCTGAAGAACATCCGCTGCTTGTGGCTTGGCAGTCGCACTGTTCTCACTGACAGTCTCTTGTACTGTTCCTTTCTTCTTATATTTCAGTGGCTTGAAACATCACTGGGTGAATGTTTATTCAGAGCTTTGATGCCATCAAGTCTTGTTTTGTTAAATGCTAAACTCCTTACGATTTTTTTTTTCCATAGGGCAGAGTGGAACATAGAGTCCCTTACTATTAATATTATGCTGAAGTTACTGTGCTGTTAATGCTGCTTTATTGAAGGTTATGCCAAAATTCCCATTAACACATTTTTGGGGGATTTATGCCTTGACTGTAAAAGTTCTGTACCAGATGAAACTAGAAAAACAAGATTTTAGCATGCTGGCTTTTCTTTTCTTTTTTTACCCTTATTTTTTTTTTTTAACACTCCAGATTTTTGGAATGTCTGTAACAACTTTTAAGTCTTGGTGATTTTGCCACTACCTCCTTCCCACCCCAGCTTTTCTTAATTTTTTATGGTATATATGTTGATTTGTCACTGATCAGATGATCTGGTTCACTTAAAAGGAAATAATGCTGGTAATTGCACTTTTGAATGCCTTAAAAATAAAATTGAAGGACTAGTTCTAGATCATTACTACTTGCAAGCTTAATTTTTATTCCTTTAAGAATGTTTGGCAATTTGATTTAAGACCTATATTGAAAAATATATAACACTTAAATATTTATCTAGATATAAATATAGAAGTAGTCTTATTTATGTATAATAAATGCACTAGTATAGGTCTCTGACGTTAAAAAATTAAATGATGTGGCACATGTGATGATATGCTATATTAATATGAAAGTTTATTTGGTAGGGATGTAAGCCTATCCTTTTCTAAGAGAATTTCCCGATAAGGCTCAGCCTGTTGAACTGTATGTGGGCAATTATAATTACTTAAGAAATGGATTAAGGAGTCTATATGCATGTGTATACAGCTATATAGCAGTACCTTGGGGGTTTTGCTGAAAAAGACCAAATATATATGTGGTGCAATCTGTTACTCATGAATCTTAGTTCATATACTTCTGTTAGCAGACTGTATGTCATTTGAAAATAAACCAGTTCATTCTAATTTTTCCTTTTTCCTATTTATAGAGACTTAACTAATAACAGAATAGGCTGCCTGAATGCAGATATATTTAGAGGACTTGTAAACCTTATTAGATTGTAAGTATAATTTGCTTTATATAAATACACCTAAGTTTTAGCTTTATGTAAGTTAACATTCTTTGTTTCAAGCGGAGTACTTTGTTTAAGTGTGGGTTGAAAGACAGACAGCTTTGTTTCTCAGTAGCAAGCTTAAAGAGCAGTGGGGCCAACCCAAACCATACTATTCCGTGCTCTGTTGACCTTGGCAACAGTTTTCCACTTTCTCAGAAGGTATAGCAGGGGAGGTGGAAGTGACTAGCAGACTGTACAGAATATTTTCCTTAGAAAAATATTTCAGAGTTTTAGAATCTTTTAATATCCATGCCCTGTAACATGGCATCGGTGTGGGTATGTTTTGCTGGCTTTCTTGCATGTTATGTAGTTCTTCATTTACTTTAGAGGATAACACGTATGATTATGAAATGTTTCCTTGCCCTGGTTTTTGACTTCTTTCACACAGTGCTTTCACTGATATATTTTATTTATATATATATATACATATATATACATATATATATATATAGGAAGTGGTATGTATAATATTTTTTAAAAATATTCTAATTGATCAAACATGCTTCTTATAGCGTGTTAATAGGAATACATCAGTTCACTGTGAACAGAGAAGTTTTCAAACTTCTTGAAAGCTATGCTCAACATGTACTGGTTGTTGCTTTAAATAAAAATCAAGTATTTGCATTCACTTTTTTTTACAGTCTTAAAATTCTTCAGCTAAAACAGAAGTATTGGGGAACAGTTTATTTTGGGATATTTTGCTAAGCTATTGACACCTGATTATTATTCTTACAGTCTTGTGAACTATGAGAGAGTGTCATAATAGTATATTGTAGTTTTTAATAATAGTGTTATCTTGAAGAGGGTGGGCATTTTTTATTTCATATGTTGGTTGTTTGATCATAAGTTAAAATCATGATACTTTTATTTCTCAGGAATCTTTCTGGAAACCTGTTTTCTACAGTTACGCAGGGAACGTTTGATCATCTTGGTTCACTGAGGTCTCTGTAAGTACTTACTGCATCCAATCTTGATTTGCATGATCCCTTGTGTTCTTAACAAAAAACCATATTATATACACTAGCTTTGTTTTGCATTTTTACTTTTAATCCTCTTAACTGTTTTTTCTTATCTGAATAAGCACTTGGCAGGTGTATGTATGTACAGATATTTGGGTCTTTGTACAACCCCCTTCAAAAGCTGCTCGCTATTTGTTACATAGTTCTGAAAGAACAAAGCTCTATTGGCATCTGGGCTTCCAAAAGTTTTATTCTGAATTTATCATTTATAGTAAATAAATAGCATTTTATACCTCTATAACAAGGGGAACAAATACTTTTAAGAAAGATCTTAGTCTCTGAATAGCAGTATAGTTTTGTAACATGTAACAGTGGGTACATCTCCACCTCATGTTATTTTGCTCTCTTAGAGTCATGAGTTGTAAGGAAGAAAGTAAATGAAGAAAATTCAGTGCTGATGATTAGCTTGCATTTTTTCCTGGTAGTCATGACAATTGGCTTCCTGTACTGACTTTCTCAGAAGCTTTGATTTCTGGCTTTGACACTTGAGTTAATTTCTTTTTTATAAAAGCAAATGTTTCTTTTCCTCCTCCAGCTTTTAATTGTAAGTTTTTATTCCTGGTGTTTTAATTGTGTATGTAAAGATTACTGTCCAAGAACACCACAGATCAGACAGGAGAACCTGGATATAATCCTTGACATTAAAAATGTGTGTGTCTGGAGGAATTCCTGTGAACAAACACCAAATGAAGTTTCACAGGAATGTTGATTTCGGGTTTGAAATGTTCTGCCTGTGATGTTGTATTGTCCTCTAGACATTGGTAAATGAAAAAGAAGTTTTCACTAGACATAAGAAACGGTGTAGACATAGCCATATGTTTTGGTATATTTTTAACTGTTTCTAAACAGATAAAATACTAATTTCTAAAATCAGTTCATATTAATGTCTTTTAATTTAGCTGACTTCAACAGACATCTGTGGGGAGGTTTGGTATAACCTTTTAGTAGAAAGTACTAACTTAACAGAGAAGACTCTATGAATCAGTTAAAAACCTTATGATTTTTATATAAAGCAGACTAAAATTGTTTGAATAGTGGTTCTGGAAAGAGAAATGGGTGAGAAGCTGTTTCTCTTAATTTTAGTGTTAAAGCATTTGATAAAATTAAGCAATGAAGTGTGCTCTTAAGTTATGATGCATATGCATGAACACCCTCCATGAACAAAACTGCTAGAAATTTTTTCATGTGCTAGTATTAGATGTTCCTCAGTTATGGAGAGAATTCCTTTTTTTCAGGGAGTATATTCTTTTGTTCTCAGATCACAGTTTGCAGAGGATTAGAGTATATTCTAGTGGGTAGAGGCAGGCAACTCCACTGTATTCTGGGGTTTCACTGCTTATTGTCTGCGTGTCTGTGTCAATGAAAGGCATTGCACAGCTGTTGATGTCAAGCTTTCAGACCTTGGAGTTTTTCGGTTTATCACTGTAAATACCCATTTTTTGTTGCAGAGAATTTCAGACTGACTATCTTCTTTGTGATTGCAACATACTGTGGATGCATCAGTGGTTAAAAGAAAGAAATATAACTGTACGCGAGACAAAATGTGCCTATCCCAAGTCACTTCAGTCACAGACGGTGACTGGTGTTAAGCAGGAGCTTCTGACCTGTGGTAAGCACTCCTGGCAACTGATACTTGTTTTCTAAAGCATTTTATGTTCTGTTAATATTAGGGAAAAAACTTTCTCTGCTTTGTTTTGTTTTCCTAAAATTCAGCACTTGTATGACAGTGGTAATAGTGAATCCTTTTCAGAGGCTGAATTTTAGTTGTGATTCAGTGTTGCTTGCTTTTGGAAATAAGTAAATTGATGATTGTGGATGTTAGTCTGTAGAAGCAAAGGATGACTAGCATTCTCAAGAGATAAACTCCTTTTTTCTGCTAACCTGTGTTTTTCAGAGATCTTTACCTAAACTTCACAAGAGGAATTGGAAACTGATAATTTCTTTCCAGAGTCTAGCTTTCTGACTTTAGATGTGTGAATTATTCTAATCCCAAATTTCTGAAGTTAAAAAGATCTTCAATTACTTTCCTACATGATGATTCTGTTCTTGATTAGACTTCTCGTGACAAAACCATTATCAACTTGCTCAACTTCTTCTTTTATTACAATTATTCCATCTGTAAAAATTAAAAACTGTATGTATTTGTGATTTTTGAGTCTTAGTAGTGAGAAGCTGTGAAGAACTAAAATGTATAAATATATTTTTCCTTCAAATTTGTTTTTCACTCTTTCGTATGTGATCTAGCAAAAGATTCCTGAAATGTATTAAAGGAGTACATATTTTGAAAAAGAATATGATGATAATTTGTATTTTTCAATATCTGATGCACTAAATGTTTATATAAGTCTTGCAAGATGCAATTTACAAAGTTATATCAATAATTGATACTGAGTGTATTTTTTCTCCTTTTTTGAAAATTATGTCTATAACAGATTCTTAATTGTGGGTTTATTTCTTGAATTCTAGAACCACCGCTTGAATTACCGTCTTTCTATATGACTCCATCTCATCGTCAGGTTGTCTTTGAAGGAGATAGTCTACCCTTCCAGTGTATGGCTTCGTATATTGATCAAGACATGAAAGTCCTGTGGTATCAGGATGGGAAGATAGTGGAAACAGATGAGTCCCAGGGGATTTTCGTTGAAAAAAACATGATTCATAACTGCTCACTGATTGCAAGGTGAATCCATAGGGAGAAAACGTATTTCCCACTCCCTGTTTTCTGCTCTGATTTGGTGACTGTTTCCATAACCAGTAAGGTCCCCTCATATCCTCACTGAATGAACATATGTAGGCAGAAACATCCCAAGTAGGGAAGTAGTCTGTAACTTCACATATCTCCTCCTAACTATAAGTTTTGAGGAAGGAGGTCTAGAGATTTGATTAGTCAAACCTACATGCTTAAAATAGGATTAGCTAGAGCAGGTTGCCCAGGACTGTTACAGTAGGGTTTTAATTTTCTTCAAGTTTTACTCAATGCAGTTCATGTAAAATATGTTTGTGGTAGACCACATTTGTTCTCTCAGAATATTAAAATGATGAAAATGTTGAAAACAAGGCATTTAACTGAACTACTTTTGGATTCCTCACTCTAGACTTACTCAGCATCTACAGAGTGGTTATATATCCTGTAGTTGTACTAGTAAATTAGTACTTTGATCCTTATAACAAATCATGCATTTGGAAATTTATTTTAATTTGCCCTTTCTGGAACAACTGAATGGTTTGTGTTGAAGAGCAATGGTAACACATAAGGAATTTGGACTTATCATTTCTTCTTTCTGAAGTCAAGGGACTTTTTCCCATGGCTGTTCTTTTTCTTCCCTACCTTGGCAAAATTGAGAGTTTGAAGAATAGTAAATAATTCTCTATTAATTACAGTACATTGAGTTGTAGATAGCTCTGGTTTAGTAAGATCACTCATGGTTGTATGTAATTTGTTTCTCCATTGTCTTTCTGTATATCATCTTTTGGTAAAGCTTATATAAATTTTATTGCAAGACTGAGTTTTATTTGTTTGTTTTATCTTCCCAGTGCACTGACAATCTCAAACATTCAGGCTGGCTCCACAGGAAACTGGGGTTGTCATGTGCAAACCAGACGTGGGAATAACACAAGGACAGTAGACATTGTGGTCTTAGAAAGTTCTGCACAGTACTGCCCTCCAGAGAGGGTTGTGAACAATAAAGGGGATTTCAGGTGAGTAACCTCAGGGTTTTTTTCAGAAGAAAGTCCATTTAATCTTGTTTCTAAGATTTTATGCTTTAAAGGCACCTATGTGGATGTTTTCTTGTAAACTGTGTTTAATAGATTACCTGTTTAAAAGTATTATATGCTGACAGAAGTGCATGAAACTATACCATGAAATGTTAAACTTTCAACCAGTTAACACATCCTTGAAAGATATGGAAAGTAAGCTATTATATTTGAAATATATAAATGAAATTATTGGAATAGAATTAAACTTTTTTAGATTACCTGTAAGTTAGAGTTGGACTACATACTGTGATAGGGTGATTTCCACCAGGTTATAATTCTCTATTTAAAATCTTTCTGCTCACATACAACAGAATCACTATATGAGAAGTACACAACATAGTTTGGGGTTTTTCCCCCATTTTATTAGAGTAAGTAATATGAATGGTGCTGCTTCCTTTTAATGATTGTTGGGACTGTAGTGGCAGCTCTGATGTTCCACTGCGTTGGGTGTTGCGGAGTATTTTATCTTTTGTTCTTATCTCTTCACCTGTTTTCCCTTTTCTGATCTTTCTGCTGCTGGTTACTCTAACAACACGTTACTCCTGGAGGTGCCAGCTGTAACAGATAGCTTCTGTATAGATTCTCTATATGTAAGGTAATTCCCTTTATAACTACTCTGTGTTATACCTCCCTGCAGTAGCTCCTACTGAGAATTAGTGTATGTAATAGCATTGTGTTCCCTATGGTGCATAGGGTTTCTTAATGCTGTAAAAACTGCTTTTATCTGCTCATTTCACTTTTCTTATGCTGCTTGGCTATGTTGATCTTCTGCTTGGTCTTTTGTTTACAGTTACAATCTTTCCCTGTGTACATTAGAGTTTTTTGAAGTCATCATCTTTGTATACAGTCGATCTAAGACCATAAATCTTTTATATTAAGGAATGAAAAGTAAGTTAAAGCATGTTGTTGGGACATAATTTGTGGGGGGAGGGAAGACAAGCTTTCAGGTACAAAAGGCCTCCTCCAGTTGTAGCTAAAATTTAAGTAAAGTCCTGACTGAGAGCATTAGTTCCAAGTTCATCTTCTTTATGTTCATTAGTTGGACAATTGCTGACTGAGTATGAGCAGCTATTAGTAAAGAAAGTAGTGTGAAGATCACTTGCTGCACAGAGGCAATTTGGAACTACTGAAGAACCACACTTTCACATTGTAAGGAGTTATTTATATAAGAAACTTTGTACGTATCTTTTTACACTGTGGTGGTTTCAACTGCAGGGATAAGCATTACATTAGAAAATGAGAACTTCCTGCTTAAGGTAAAAGGCGAAGAAAGTCAAACAGATGCATGCTGTATTCATCAAAGAACACATCTATTTAAATCACTTATGCTTTTTTTTTTATGATACAAATGTGAATTGTTCTTCTTTGATTAGCCATTAAAGGTGAAAACAGATGGTAAAGGCTTATTTCAAAGTGTTTTCCATTAAATTAACCTGTGCTGTTCAGTGACTGTTCAGTGGAATAGGATTTACCCCCTCTGGAATTCAGTAGAAAGAAATAAGATTTCAGGAAATGTTCAGCTTATCAAAAAGTTCACGATATCTGGGTTTATTATAACAGACTTCCACTCATAACTTAGGTAGAGTAATAAGAAAGAGTAATTTTTCACCTTTGAGAGCATATGGAAATAAGGCTTTGACTAGTGAGAAATGCTTCAGAGCAGATGGCTGTAAATGATCCTAGGTGAATTTGATTTTATAGTTTTTTAGTTGGAACTGGTTAGTCATTTTAGCTTGGAAGGTGTTTCAAAACTGGCATCTAGACTTTTATCCCTGCAGAGATGGGATAGCAAAGTAGCAAAAAACGTTTGTCTTCAGTGTCTTTGGCTCAGTAATAGTTTAGCATAGTTTATAAAGGTTAGGCAAAAACTTCATCATAGAATCTATTTGCTTTAATTTAAATATTCTTTTAAGTCTTACTCAGCTAATATCCCTGAATGTGTTACAATCAATGATTAAATTGAAAATACAGTTTGTATGTTAAAGTGCTTCCACTTCAGTAAATCCTTTAACTGTTGTGTTTAACATAATTTTATGATGGTAGTTGATAGAATTCTTTCTTAAATATAAGAATTAACTTTTTGAGAGCTGTTACTCCCTGGGCATAATATATTTTAAAATTGTAATTATCATGCTAAATTTAGAGAATTACTAGGATGTAATAATTAAAAAATACTGGATTATATGTAAGCTAATTAAATTATGATATAAAAGCTCATTGTAACTGAAAGTTATTGTTCATTTTAGGAAATGAATGCTTTCAAAACAGAATTAATATATATGAAGGAAAGAATTCTTTTATAATCTCATGGACTGGCTTTTTTTTTTCCCCCTGAAATGAAATTACAGTACTTAAACATAAATGAACCATCTTTTCCCCCACAGCTGTCTACTCTTATGTATATGTGATAAATTTTGAGCACCTAATTATAAAGAGTAGTGAAATAAGAGTGTTAATACAGTCCACATTTGCACTTCTGCTAGCCGATAGGTAAACTGTGAAAGATATTGAAAATTAGACTCACAAGAAATTAAGAATACAGACTCACATAGCGTTTGTTTGGATGGTGAGAATTTCATGTCGTTATTCACCTTTTGAACCCTGCTGGAGGGATGTACTCTCCAACTCCTTTGAAAGAGAATGCCTCCTCAGCTCATCTCATACAGGTATTGGGAGGAAACAGTTCATGACTGAGAATAGTACAGCTTAACATTCATTTAGCAAAAATAGGGTATAAGGAGAATGTAGTTGAAGCTGGAATCAGTTCCCCTATCCTGGGTTGCAAAACAACTAGTACCCATAGAAGGTGTATTGTGAATGAGAGAGGGAAGAGGATAAGGGACACTGTTCCTCACAAAACATTTCTTTTCATGACACTGTGCATTTGGATTGGTTTTGTGTATGTGAGATTATGGCAGAAAGCTTTGAGTTTTAAATTGCCCACCTTCTATGTCTGGTTTAGTAGAAAGCTTTCTAATTCATTATACAAATAATGGATTAGTTTGAACAGTAAAATGTGTCTGTAGATATCTAAATTCTAATGGGGTTCCGCATGGCTCTTCTTAGGCTGTGCTCTCTTGAACATCTTACTTATAAATGACTTGGACACAGGACTGGAAGGGATACTAAGCAAGTTTGCACATGACACAAAACTGGGAGAAGCTGTTGACTCCCTTGAAGGCAGGGAGGCCCTGCAGAGAGACCTTGGTAAATTAGAGAGAGGATTGAGCAATCACCAACCATATGAAGTTCAACACGGGAAACTGCTGGAACCTGGGATGGGGCAACCCCAGATGTATGTACAGACTAGGGAATGAGATGCTGGAAAGCAGTGCCATGGAAAGGGACCTGGGGGTCCTGATCGATGGCAGGTTGAATATGAGTCAGCAGTGCCCTGGCAGCCAGGAGGGCCAACCCTGTCCTGGGAGCATCAGGCAAAGCATCACCAGCTGGTCAAGGGAAGGGATTGTCCCACTGTGCTCTGCACTGGTGTGACCTCACCTTGAATATTGTGTGCAGTTTTGGGTGCTACAATATAAGAAAGATATTAAGGTCTTAAAAAGTGTCCAAAGGAGGGCAGTGAAGATGGTGAAGGGCCTTGAGGGGAAGCCATATGAGGAGTGGCTGAGGTCACTTGGTCTGTTCAGCTGGAGAAGAGGAGACTGAGTGGAGACCTCAGTGCAGTTACAACTTCCTAGTGAGGGGAAGAGGAGGGACAGGCACTGATCTCTTCTCTGTGATGACCAGTGACATGACCCAAGGAAATGTCCTGAAGTTGTGTCAGGGGAGGTTTATGTTGGATATTAGAAAAGGTTCTTTACCCAGAAGGTATTTTGACACTGGAAGAGGCTCCCCAGGGAAGTGGTCACAGCACCAAGCTCATTAAGCGTTTGGATGATACTCTCAGGCACATGGTGTGACTCTTGGGGATGGTCCTGTGCAGGGCCAGGAGTTGGGCGCGATGATCCTTGTGGGTCTCTTCCAACTCAGCATATTCTGTGATTCTGTGAAATTTGTTCTAAAAGTAGCACACACTATAAGACTGTCTGGCGTTGCTTGTATTCTTTTGAGAAGGTCATGGCAAAAGATGATAAAATGCCATGTAGGGAGATGAACACAAAGGAAACTCAGCAGGAATAAAAGAGCAGTAACAAAAGAGAAAGAGAGGGGTAACAAAAATAGGAAGGTGGAGATAAAAACAGGGAGAAAAGGCAAATAAATAATCTTATAAAAATCTAATAGCCTTTGAAGTAGTGTTAAACACTCAAACTCTCACTTTTTTGTTTGATGGCTACAGAAATTCCAGAAGATATATATATATAGCTTAGAAATCATACTTGTTTAAGAACATAGTAATTAAAGCTCTCCTGAAAAACTTGTTTTTTTCATTTGAGTCCTAATCTGAGAAACCAGAGAGAAACTGTTTCCTCTTTTTCTAATTCTGTACCACTAGATGTGTATAGTGAGAAAAGGAACAGAATGTGCCATTTTTCAGTGAAAATATTTGTCTTGGCGGTTCTGTCATAAACATCTGTCAGGACCACAGAATTTAAATTATCCTAAGGCCATGTGGCACTCAGTCTGTAAGGCAATACATTCAGTCAAAACTAAGCCAACCACACTTTAACTGAAAATGCTTTGGAAAAATACAACTTTTAGAAAACTGTCTGTAAAGACAGAGACAAATACCGCTTTCAAAGTGACATCTTTGATGTGGAAACTTAATATAAAAATTTCAGCATTGATAAATGGTTTTGGAATTTATGTTTTGGCACTCCAGTAGCGTGTTTCTGGAGACCTGACTCTGCATTCTGGAAGTGGAGATTTGGGTGTATTATGCAAGGTATTTGTGGGCCTGCATGTCTTCTAACAGCTGTGCCAGCTGATTTACTACTTGTCCTCATCCGCCTGTGTTCTCTTTGGCTTCATTCATTGAAGGCTTATTACGGAAACATAAGAATTGGGAACATAGAAGTATTCATCTCTGTACCTGTTTTTCCAGTCTGCGTTGAAACAGAATTTATTTCTGTGTTGAATCAGTCCCTACTGAATTTCAGTGATTTAGATAAGTTTACATGTATTGTATCCCCCTATCCCTCCTTCCCACCCCCCAGCACATCCATAACTTGCTCTCTCCATGATCAGAGTTGGCCAGACATGATACAGTGTGAAGTTCTTATTAACTTGCTAGAGTGCATGTAATGTTGCACTAAAGTTACTGCTGGGATTGTGGCAATTCACAACAAGGCTGTTGTTATTTTTAGTAAGGAAGATTTTTGTCCTTTGTGCTGCCTTTTCTTCTTTATGGGCAAAAAGATGGTAAAAAACTTATGTTACCATTGCAGAATCCATACCTGTTCTTTTAATTAATTTCCATTCTCTAAAATACCTCTGATAATTCCAGGCATTTAAAAATCTGTGCTAATTATTCTTAAATTTTTCTTTTTTCTTTTAACTACCTCCATTGCCACCAAGTCTAGTATAAGTTTTCCTTTCTGATAGTGGTTGATGGTGACACTTCTGTTAACTACTTGAAGTGGCTGCTGAGGCTCTGAATGTAAGGGAATGCATATTTGCTAGGCTGGGTGAAGCTCTGCTATGATACCCAAAAAATCTGAGGTCTCTCCTAGTATTCAAATACTCTGGTGATGGTTGTAGTAACAAGTCTCTGTGTCTTAACAAAATTATGTTACTACAGTATAGAGAGGTTACGTGTAATGCCAAAGCTGTGATAAAATTTAGTTAAATTTGTCCCTATTTTCTAGTTTAGTTTGTATTTATCATCTAGTTTTTTGCATTAGATTTCTTACTGACTTTAAATTCTTTTATAGTTGTTGCAGTGACCTGTGCAATATAGGGATGCCATCAGCAGCCATCTTTTTGTTGCTTGTTGCCCAAACCTAAGTAATGGTCAAAATGGCCTACAGTAAGAGTCTTTCTGCCATTACTGAACATGCTAAAATTGTTCTGTTGGAACTGATTAATAAATAGGAATTTGAGATAAAGACTTTCAGTATACCTCAAAAGGTTAATCTCTTCTATTATTTAATATAATTGAGAAGTGTAGCCTTTTGCCTTTGTCCATCCCTGGAGTTAATTCTCTTCTCTGAGGAAGAACTGTGATTAATCCTAGCATCTTCAGTAAGAGGAGTTACTTAACTGATGAATAAGGAGTGAAAATGGTCCTGACTTTTTCAGTTTGTCTGTTTTGGCAATAGTATTTAAATTTTTAATTTCCTGGAAATGGAACACCCTTCAAGGTGTTTACTTCATCTTCCTGCAAACACAGGATTATTTTTTTTCCAAGATAGATATATTCTCAACATTTCTTAATTTGGCCCATAGCAGTGAATATATTTACTAAAAGGCAGTCCAGATATAAAAGCAAACTTTGAATCACAATGTAATGCACCGGAACTTTTTGTTTGCCCAGTTCAGTTTTTGGATTCAGCTGCTTTGGACAAGGCCCTTTGAAATACTTAAAACTGAGAAAAACTGTGTTAGCTCGTAGGGCTGTCCAAGGATCTTGACTTATTTATGGTACAGAAAACGGGGATGATCAAATGAAGTTCTGTTGCTCTCAGTTTTAGTTAAATCTTTTATGTTGGGTTGTTGGATTTGAGATACTTAGCATTCTGCAATTTAGGTATGTATCCTTTTTACTTTTAAAATTTAAGAAATTTAAGTATTAGTGTTCAGGTATTAATGATTGATAAAATACTGCTTATGCATATATGAACAGGAGAGAGTACCAGAATCAGGGCATTCTTTACCCCCGTCCTTCTCTCCTTTTAGCATTGCAGCTGAATTCAGGCATGATTTCTTTCTATTCTTAGTTTTCCTTGAATTAGTTCTGCTCTCATGAGTGATCAGTGCACTAAAGCTGTATTGCAATCTAATTTTTGTATTTATTCTTTATTTCTTTTTTATCTATGTATATGTTTATACAGATAAAAATTCACAGTAAAATTAGAGGAGAAAGTGGAGAGAATGTTAGAAGTTTTCTTAAGACATACTTAGTTTCATATACCTTGAGTGAAAGGAATTATTTTCTACTTTCTTAATATTTTTAACAAATTTTTTTCCCATTAAATTCTGTTTGGTATTTTGTTTGTTTGCAGGAGCGGTGAAAGTGGTTATACTACTGCTACTATTTCTTAAGTACTGTAAATGTAGTCTTCTGTTCATATCTGCAGTTTGGTACTGATATGAATGCAGTTGTTTGAAAGTTACATTAATGCATATAAACAGGACAAGTAGAAAACTAGTTTTCAGCTTGTTTTTATAGTGTTAACAGGGATTTTTTTCATGAAGTAGGGAAGGGTTTTTATAAAAAAAATAGACTATTTTTAATTATTTTATAAACACCTTCTTCTCTCCACCTAAAACCTCATCAAAGAATTTTGAAAAAGCATGTTAGCATTAGAACTCATTTTGTTAGTGGAACAAATATGAACAGCTTGAAAATAGTGAAGATGAGCCAAGGTGGCCTTTTCAATAGTTTAGAGATGCTTAGTTTTGAGTGTCTCTTTATTTCATGTTGTAGTGTTTAATCCTTTTATTTACTTGTCATGTAAATTTGTCTAAATGTGGGGATTTTTTTCCTTTTGACTCCCCAGGTGGCCTAGAACATTGGCAGGCATCACAGCATACCTGCTGTGTACACGTTATTCCGCTGGCAGTGGGATATATCCTGGCAACTCACAAGATGAGAGAAGAGCCTGGCGCAGATGCGACAGGGGAGGGTACTGGGCAGAGGAGGACTACTCCAGGTGCCAGTATGCAAATGATGTGACTCGAGTTCTTTATATGTTCAATCAGGTAATTTGTGCTTTTCTTTAAAATCAAATTGTGAAAATCAGATTAATGAAAATAAACCCTCAAAGAACTCTTCATCTTTTTTTAAGCTGGTAATAATGGTGGTCTAGATCAGTTACGATAAACACGTGCCTCTGAGTACTGTAGTGGAACTTACAGGTTTAGGTTAAGAGCTTGGTTTGGTATCTCTCTTGAGTGCCCCCAGATTGAAAGTGCAAGGGAAATTTTATTCTTTGTACTCATATAAAGCATAAGAGAGTGGTGCTTGTTGTGATCATTTTTGTCAGCCTGATACTCTGTCCTGTCCACGTGCTATAAAGAAGCAAGACAGGCTCAAGCTGTAATGGAGAACAGCTCTTTTCATTCTACTAATAGAGTAGTCAAATTCTGCTCTGCTTTTGTTGCTGTAAACCTCTTTGACCAATGAGAGTTAACTAGTGAAAAAAGTGAGTATTAAATAGGCTTCTTTAGTCTTTTAGCACTTACCAGGGTATGAGAGTGTTGTAGAATTTAAATGTAGCTATGAAACAAAATTTTTCAGCTCCAGGCTCTATTCGAGGCTTATCTAGTTAATGCACACTTTCAGAAGCACTGCTCTGCAGTGATGTACCCAACCTTGTATGTGTAGGTGCTGTGTTGTAAATTAGTCCATAAAGCTTTGAACCTCTGGTCTAAGCTTGTGTTCCAGTCCAGTGCATGCTGTCAGATCCCTAGTATCATTGCAACTGGTGAAACTATGGAGATGACATTGTCTTCAGTGTGATGTTTTGGAGTTTATATGGTGGTTGTTTTTTTTTGTTTGTTTTTAATAATACAACTTGGTCACTTGAGTTGATGATGTTGGTAGCACCATCCATGTTTAACATGGGACTGTGGTGGTTGCCTGACCCCAGGGTAGAATTTCTCTGTGTTGGGTGAGTTTGGAGTGGTTTAGTTTGTGAGGTGACATTCATTTAGAGTAAACTTCACACTGCATATCAGAAGCACCACAGCCCCTAACTGACACAATTGGGATTTAAACATCCCTTTTGGATGTCTTAGATTTGTATGCATAGTGAAGTCTTGATGTCTGCTTGCTGGGGCTAAATCCAGTAGGAGGCAAAAGCATTGAACTGCATTTTGTGTATGTGGGTTGTTGTTGACTTGTTTCCTCTGTGTTCAGTTGCTTACTATTGCATACATAGTTTTTTATAGCTCTAGTTCCCTGGGAACCCATGAGCACTGGTGTAAGAAAGGTGGCAAGGAAGGGAGGGAAAGAAAGGAAATGCCTCTTTTGACCCAAGATAAACTTAAGGGTTGACATAATTATTTTTATTTTACTGCTTTATATTCCTAGCCTTAGAGGTGTATGCCATGACTTGGTCACAAGAAACATGTTTAAGGGTGATGTTTCTTAATGGCTGTTTAGCAGGTGAAAGATAATGTTGGCAATCAGTGTGTCCTTTTGTGGGACACACAGCAAGGTTGAGTGTTTGCTTATTTAGAGCTTTGATGCTGCTGATTTGCTTTTTTTCTCACCTAGGAATTCAAATTTTCCTGCAAGACCTGTGACAGCTCAATGCTACTCCTTCCTACGTGCTGTAGTCCAGCTGCTTAAGAGCCTAGATTACTTAAGCCTGTTATAACTGTTTTTGGTTAGCCAACATTTATCCAGTTGTGGACTAATACTGCCAGTTTCGTGGTAGGAAGTTTAAAATGTGAGGGTTAGATTGGTATCTTCAAAAAAGCAGAAGTGTAATTTTCATGTGTGAAGTAGATAACTTCCTCTTATCTGCTTAAAAATACATGTACACAGGTATGGTACACTGAAGTAGAGGTTTCAGATTTTTTTTTTTTAAGGGAAGAAGTGGCATGTTTTGGTTTAGCGTTGTTTTTATTCCTTAGAGCCACCTTCTTTTTACATGTAGTAGGTCTGGAATTTTTAGCAGTATTCTGCACAGAAATTTATTGTCTGAGATTAATATTAAATGTAATCATAAGCATCTTTAGAGCCTTTGAACAAAAAGGTAGTTGAGCTGTTTTGAACATTAGAATTTTGCCAAGCATTTTAAATTGAATAAGGGTCTAAGTTTAAAATAGAATGATGCCCTTGTAACATTTGTATAAGAACATGTATATTTCACTGTTCTTGTTTGTGTATACTGAACAGGTATAGTTTTAGCTGAAAAGTAATTGATGATTAAAGAAAAAATTCAAAGAAATTATACAGAGTATCTGAATTTGAAAGTTGACTTTGTTCAGCGTGTGTTACGACTTTGAACTTTATTTGCACTTTAAATACATGACTTCTGACATATTGGCAGAAATTATCTTCTGTTAGTTGCATTCAAATCTATGTGCAAGTGCTAAGACAGCAGGGACAAAGACAGAGTTGTGCTTATGTAGCACATTGCAAATTTAGTAGGGCAGACTAGATATCTGTACACCACAAACCAGAGAGACAGAACCTCTCTAGTTTGGATTATCATGGATAAACAGCATCTGAACATGAGCTGATAACATTTGCACAGCTTTCCACTGTGCTATATAAAATTTCCCATTTTCAGTCCCTGCTAGCTCAGGCATGTTGATGTTGTGTATTATTTAGTGAAGAATTTTCCAGCATGTGGCTTGCTTCAGGAATGAAATCATGAGCTTTGTCACAGGAGATCTGTCTTGGTTTTTATGTTTGTATTCCTTTCCAAACGTTTCTATAATTACAGAATTGAGAGTGAATGCTACAGCAGTGGTGTGTTTGAATTTGTTTTAGCTTCTCTTGCTATAAAATGCTGTATTTTAGGAGCTTTCTGTTGTCATGCCTAGGCTTTGGTGAAAATTAAAATAAGCATTTGACAGTACTGTTTTGGGGTTTTTTGCTCTTTTTTTTGGTGCAGTACCTCTCTCCTTTCTAGGACAACAGCACAAAACCCAGTTTCTGGTTGCAGGTACAAATCTGCAGGTTCTCTGTCTTGTAGGAAATGTTTTGCTTAAAATCTTAGGATGGTAGTCCTTGGTTACTTAAAACACTGTCATTCCTGTGGAAATTGCTCTCCTCTTTGAGAGAATGCTTATTTATTAATTGATGAAATGTTGTCTCTACCTTGTACTTTTTACTTCAAAATGTTCATGTTTTGTTCTCTATGTAGATGCCTCTCAACCTTACTAATGCAGTGGCAACGGCAAGACAGCTCTTGGCTTACACTGTTGAAGCAGCAAATTTTTCTGATAAGATGGATGTTATTTTTGTGGCTGAAATGATAGAGAAATTTGGAAGATTTGCTGAAAAATATAAAGAGGTAACTGGATAATTTGCCATCACTTTAAAGATAATCATAGTGTTTGTCCTTAAGTGTTCTGAGCAGTGAAACCTTCCCAACACTAGATGCAGGCACTGAGTTAGTGGATTATCAGATTCTATTGCATGTTTTTGTTTGTTTAGTAGGTCCCTGAAGTTGCTGACCCATGGTCACAGACTTTGCATTCGCGCTGAGATGATCCAGCATTCACTGGACCTGTAATGTGAGTAACACCTCTGGTCAGCACTGGAGCAGGGAGATAGGTACAGTAAGTCTGTTTTTATTTAATATGGAGTGGGTCACACAGGTTTTCATTGGTATCCTCTTATTTAAAAATACAAATAATGAAAGCCTCAGAGATCCTCTCAATAATGAATAAAACAAGACTTATATTCTCCCCTTCCACCATGGTAGGCTGTCTTTATTCAATATTGAGCTTTATCTCTAAGGTTTTCAGTATTCTTCTATCTTGCAGGATATAAAATAAGACATTAAAATAAAATCTTAGAGAATGCTCATTGCTGGGGAGAAAAATATAAGTAGTGGAATAATCCCACCAATGGGTAGGAACTCTCTGTTTCACTGCTGAACAGAGGTTTTATTGATCTCACTGTACAGTGCATGTTGGGAAGTTGGAGACTACAATGCCTCAATATTAAACTTGTTCAAAAAAAGAAAAGGCAAATTTTACCCATCCACCCCTCAGCAAACCATAAATGCTATTTCTACATCCTTTGCAGAACTCCTTGGAGAATTTTCAAGCTAAATCTCCTTTTTTACAATCAGAGTTTGGATTTTTTTTGCATATTTTGGAATTACACACACAGTTCATTAAATGGCTGCTTTTTTACCTAGTCTAAAATAGAAACATGTTTTAGATTACTGCATGATTTACTGCATTAAAAGAATATTTGTTTCTCAGCTGTGACTTATTGTCTGTAGAGTGACATAATCTGGCATTACTTGGCCGTATCTGAAGGTAATGGATAATATGAAAAAATAGGTTAAATTCATAGGTAGTTTTGGTCTTAGAGTTTCTTTTAATCTCAGTTGGTTGGATTTGAAGCCAACCTTTGATTTGCTGGTATATTCAAGGAACATGAGTGCAGTTTCATGTAATAATTGTAGTAGCTATTAATGAGACTAATTTCTTATGAGGGTATTACTCCACAAACTTGTTCTTGACATTGTTATTCATATCTATTTACTTACACCGTCTTATTGTTAGTTCCTTAGTTTGTGTTACAGTGGCTATTCTGAAAGATTAGTACTATGAACTATAGAAAGGTTCATTTAATAGCTCTTTAATATCAGAAGAAAGAAGACAAATGTTCAGAAAGTTCTTATCAAAGTGTCTTGTTAGAATACAGTTGGAAAAAATTGTGCATACCTTGATAAGCAGGAGAAAGAATAGTGTGTAATATACTTTAAAAGTATGAAACAACTTCAGTTCTTCAAGTTCAGGATCCTTATACTGATAATTTATTGTAAAATCACCATTTGTTGATGTGTAAAACTTGCTACCTCTTTTCAAGTAGTAATAAGTTATAATAAGGACTTTCAATTAATTTAACTTTGATTTGTTCTTGAGAATATAATGAAAACAGCTACAGCCTGCAAATTTTACTTGAGATTCTGTGTTAGTTGTTGAAAATTTTTACTGATTATAATTTCTATCCCTCAGAGAGACAGTTCTAAAAGTAGTAAATATTTTTATATTCCAATTCTGGCCTTTATTTTTAAAGATTAAAAAAAAATACCCCAAACTACTGTGTTCTCTCCTCTGAAAAGACATTGGGAAGCCTGGATGGTAAAGGATATGTCTTCCTCACCCTGCCCTGTCTCTCTTCAAGCAGAAAATTCTAGTCCCTAAATTTAGCAACTATAAATTGCATTTCAGTCAATTTAACTAGAAAATACACTCACCTTTGCTTTGTGGTCCAGTATTTATCACTGCTCCTTAAATGTTTTGAAAATCCAGGGTAGGTCAATGTTGTCAATGTAGGTGCTCGTTAATTTTGGCAGAGTTGTGGCGTCAATAAATGAGTTCCCTTTATAGTTTGTATTTGTTTGTCATCCAGAAGGCAGGGCAAGGACTGTGAACATAAACTTAAAAGTATGTAATTCATGATTTGAAAGCAGTACTGCTGCTTATAGGTATTTACTGTCTGTCTCGTGTATACCTGTGACCTAAAACAGGTCATGCAAAATAAAAGACAAGCAAGAAAGCAATCAAAAAAAGTTAGACCTGCTGAAAGGAAGTGAAACAGGAGCGTTCTGTGCTAATTTTTGCTGTATTACTCTTACTCTCTTCAATCACACACGCAAACTGTATTATTGTTAATTTGAAGTTTATTTTAGATTTTAAAGTTGATTGTAAATAGACCTTTAAACAATTAGTACAGTCAAACATGGAGTATTCCTCTCTTTGCTTTTAATGAAATATCTGTATTTATCATGGATTTTTTTCTAAGTAAAATATAAACAAATTACATTGGCATAACATTTTTCTTTGCTGGAGGTAAATGTCTGAGTCAAAGTATTTCAGTATCTCAAGATGACAAGAGGTGACTGAAACAGGAACAACCAGTTTCCTTTTGCGTTTTGTGCTGTCAAGTCGCTTTGTATTTTCTGATAGTGATCCTACTAGATGAACACTTTCAAAGCTATAACAGAGTCTTATTTCTCTTCTGTGTTAGCTTGGTGATGTGATGGTGGACATAGCAAGTAACATTATGTTAGCTGACGAACGTGTTCTGTGGATGGCACAAAGGGAAGCCAAAGCTTGTACCAGAATTGTACAGTGTTTACAGAAAATTGCTATGTATCGGCTTGCAAACGGAGCTCAAGTTTATTCTACTGTAAGTATGAATTGATTTATTTAGAAGACAGTTTTCTTGCTCTTGAGTTTAAATAGTTTTTTATTTTTCTTAATGTGGGTGTTTTCTGAAATGTCTACTATTCCTGTAGGGAGAAGAGCAATACTCTGAACAGATTTATCCTTGCCAGATAAGCAGGAAAGGTCTTCATGACAGGTTATTTTGTGAAGGCAGAGAATTCCTTTATTTATTATCCTTTCTGTGGTGTGTGAAATTATTTTATGTTTGATTTTTGTCATCACAGTATTCTCCAAATATTGCTCTTGAGGCCTATGTAATAAAGGCTGCTGGCTTCACTGGGATGACGTGCACCGTATTTCAGAAAGTGGCTACATCAGACCGTACAGGACTCAGTGATTATGGGAGAAGAGATCCCGATGGAAATCTAGATAAACAATTAAGCTTCAAGTGCAACGTTTCAAATACACTGTCAAGTCTGGCGTTAAAGGTCAGATACTCTGTTTCCCTACAGACTTTGTAATAATACCTTATGTATAAATATTTGGAAAACAAGTTTATAATTATTAATTTTTATGTTAAATTAGCATTTTTATGTAATCCAGAATGACTGTGACAGGAATTAAAGGGACAAGGGATATTAGAGTTTGATTATAAAGTAGGCTTTTTAATGGACACAGTTTTTAATAAATAGGTGTGGGTTTCTATTGAAAGGTATTCAAAGTTCTTAAGTTGAAGGATCCTTTCAGACCTTTTCATAAGGATGGAAACTGAAACACTCCCTAGTTCATAATAATATGTCTTTATTTTCCTGTATTTTCACCTTCATTACATATTAAACAGATATTACCAGTCTCCTTACATATCTGAAATACTCTGCTGAGAGTGATACTGTAATAAGCATGAAACAGAAAACAGACCTGAAAGGTTAATTTTGTGTTTGTCTGTGCATATAGTGTATACACACACACACACGTATATATATCTCTATATGTGGGTGTGTATAAAATGGAAAAACTTCCTCATATTCCTTAAAAGTATTTTTCAGTTACGTTCACCACCTTAGCAGTTTACTTTTAATCACCTTATTTGCTTTAATGTCACTGCAGGGTGTATATTAGAAATTATACTTATGTAATTGTATGAAATTATGTGCATTCTTCTCTACCCAAGTATAATTTATATACAAGTTAAATGCTGTTTGTATACAGCATTCCTGTATATCCTGTTTTGAATAGTACTAGTGCCCAATTACAGCATTTCTGTCTGTATGTTTGCCTTGGTTGCTGCTTCTAGTTGCCGATAGTCAAATCTTGTAATACTTTACTGAAACCGACTTCAACTTTACTCTCTCTAAAAAGTAAGGCAATTGCAGAATCTTAACTTTTTTTTTCTTTTTAAAATTTTTTAAGACTTTAATAACTTGATTAAGCTATTTTATCCTAGATTATTTGGAAACACAGTGTAATAGGTTTGTCACAATACACAGTCTGCTAAATGCGTTCATCTCTGACACAGTTCAGTTAGAGGAGTTGCTGATTTAGTCTTTATGAAGAGTTTCACTTTCTCTTTAGAACTTTGAAAATCTGTTTATTTCTAGAACACAATTGTAGAGGCTTCTATCCAGTTGCCAGCTTCCCTTTTCACCCAAAAACAAAAAAGAGAAATCAGACCAGCAGATGAATCTGTCTACAAGCTTCAGCTTATTGCATTTCGCAATGGAAAGCTTTTTCCAGCAACAGGAAATTCAACAAATCTGGCTGATGATGGGAAACGTCGCACAGTTGTAACTCCAGTTATTCTCACCAAGATAGGTTTGTTTTTATTATTACTTTTTTATGATCTTTAAGAAACATTTTGACTCCCTTGTTTTGACTAGTGTGTATCTAATAAAAGGTTTTAGCATCTAACGCCTTACATGTTGAGAAATTTATGTGCACGTACGTTTCCTTTGCAACAGATGGTTTAAACCTGGCCAGTCACCATGTCCCTATAAATGTGACACTGCGGCGCATTGCACATGGAGCAGATGCTGTTGCAGCTCAGTGGGACTTCGATCTACTGAACGGACAAGGGGGATGGAAATCTGATGGTTGTCACATCCTTCTGTCTGACGAAAACATTACTACCATCCAGTGCTACTCCCTCAGCAACTATGCCGTCTTAATGGTATGACACTTAGGATTGCATTTCTTTCTGGAACTTAAAAATGCTTCAAGATGCAATTCTGTTTGAGTTTTTCTTGTGTTAAAGAGAACAAGCATTCCCTACATTTAATTTCACATAAAACTAGACGTAATAAATAAATCTTTAGTTTTTGCTCGCGTTGATGTAAATGTTGAGGTAAGGTGAGGCTTAAATGGAAATCTGTCCAAGTGGAATTAATTACTGAATATGCTAGACACAAAACTATTTTCATATGTGAAGTAATACATTATAGGAAGACATTTTAATGAGCTCCTTAATCAAATAGGCTTTTATGAACTTTAGTCTAGTAATGACAGGTTTTCTTCTACTGTTACCTTTATTTTAAACTGTATTCTCTCTGTTAGATTAAATTTGTTGACTTTATGTGTTGGCAGGACAGGAGTGTTTTCCCATGTATTTTTTTTTTCCTGTGATCCATAACCAAAGACAGCTATTTCATTGCAAATTAACTGTTCATTTGCTAGTATGTAGGTCTATTACCAGAAGACATCAATTGAAATAGAAAAAAAATCAAAACACTTAGTAACTATCAAAAATATCTTTGAAATATTGCTTAAAAGTATCTAAACTCTAGTCTTAGCATATTGATATCAGTAAAATGTTTAACCAATTCTAAAATATGGTCATAGAAAAAGAAAAAGGAGCAAGACACCTTCTTTATTGCTCTTCAGTTGTGAAGACTGACTTCTTTGTCTGAGCTCTTAATTTCGGAATCTGGCCTAAGCAGTTTCCCTTTTTACAGATGATGACTGCTACTCTGCTCAGCAGTAATCACCACAGATACTAAATGATAAAACATGATAAATAAAAATGGTAGGCTGATAGGAAGCTGAATGAAATAGTAAGAGGTTTAGGAAATTGTTAACTTTAAATTTCTGATGGGTTTTGTTGTAGTTAATGTGCTCTGTGTGGAATTACATATATATTTTTATGTAATTGTGTGGAAGAAAGAGGATTACTCTATGATGATCAGTGGATGAGAAGTTGCTGTTTTTCTTTAGCAACTCAAAGTTTCAAAAATCTACCTTAAAAGAGAATTAAATAGTAGAATACCAAAAAGCTAAACATAAATAAAATTGATTTAAATGCCAAGGTTTTAAAAAATGCTCGAAGAGAGCAACTCTTCATTTTACCTCTGAGAGTACTGTTGTAAATTACTTTAAACTGTTACAATCCTAGAGTTCATTTATTTTTTGTATTTTTAAAATATATAATCCTTTCCTAAAATGTAACAGCATTCTTTAAAATGGAATTAAACTTCACTTTTATGTGTAGAATGCATGTAAAGGGAGGTTATGCTTTGAACTGGTCACATTTCTGTTACCCGAAGAAACAAAAATGAAAAGGATGTTCAATCTGCTTCTGTAAAGACTATTTCTAAATTAATACATGGTAAGATTGTATGAATATCTTTTTGTGAATTATAGTGAGAACTGTTGACAATCAGAAATCAAAAGTTAGAGAAAGGGGCAGTTTTCTTCTCTTTCTGCTGGTAGCTCCCATTGTATACTTGGTTGAAAGTGGTATTCCTTTAATATTTACTGTTTACCAAAATGTAGAGAATGGAGGGATGGGGGTAGGTGGAGGGGCACAGAGTAATAATACTTAGCTGATATATGTTCCTTGGACACAGTTAACAGGCTGCAGAAGCTCTGGATGTCTTAAGTGGCTGCTGAAGAAGGTTTGCATACTGCCTATCTGTATATTAACCAAAAAGCCATAATAACCTTTTTCATTTGTAAACTCTCATCGTGTTGTGAAAGTCTGGGTTCTGATCCCAGGCTCAGAGGAAGTTCTTTTGAGTTCAGTTTTAGAAGTTTGCTTTTTAATTCAGCAGTTCTCATTAACGTCAAATACATGGACAGCAGTGGTAGAAGGAACCTGAACACGGTAGTCCATCATCCTGGCTGGATGGTGAATAACTTAACCAGAGTTATTTTACTCTCTTTTAGGCTACTTTACTTTAGTATGTATGTGTGCAGAAGAAAGCACATTGTAACATATTGACCTGTTTTCATACATTTCAGAACATCATGTAAAGTCCTCTGATAAGGAAACATTACTGAGTGTCTAGTTGTCTGATCTAGTGATTTAGACAGATACAGTTGTAGAACTTTGTATTTATTTGGAAATTATCTTTACTACTGTTTAATAATAGAAGTGGTAAGCAGGAGATTCACCTGGAAACTCATTATTATAGGCTTCCAGCAAAGTTAAAAAAGCAGCAGTGGTGGTTGAGAAGAAACAAGAGTTCTGCTAGTTGAATATGAACTCCCTAATGTTCTTAATGTCATCTCTACTTTTATTTTACTGTCATTCTTTTTTACTGAATTTAGAATCAGTTTAGCTCAGAAGTAGCATTGTTAGCTCCCCTCACTCCATTTAGCAGGTCTGATAAAGAATGTCAGTAATTGATAAAAATTCCACTGAGTTAGTGTATACTGGGTCAAGGCCTTTGCTAGCTCGGCAAAGCATATTGAGTTTTTCTCAGATGTTTTAGATTATTGTAGATCTTGTGATTTTTAGCTCTTGTTCTTGAAATTTGCACCAGTATGTGCATGACATCATGCTACCTGGTGCCAGTCTGGAAGCAGTAACCAGAATTGTCCTGCACTTTCAGTTCCCCGATAATCACGGTCCAGGTGTGACAAAATATTAGCTCGTGCTTGTAAGAGCAGTGAGTTCCCAGGGATCTCCAGCTGGATATCATCCAGGCCATGGGTAGTGTTGAAATCAGATGACACTGGCTGCCTGAGGCATAATATCTTATGATCTTTTTCCAAGTGCCAAAGAAAACGAAACACATAAGAATCAAACTGACAATCCGATGAAATTAGTTTGAAATGAGGTTGTTGAGTTAGTTAGGAATAACGCATTTATATTCTGATCAAAAAACAATTCAAGGAATGGTGAAGAGACCGCTGACTCTAATTTAATTGTAAGCCTCAATTCAAAAACTCTTTTCCTGTCTATGAAATCAGATTACCTGTCTTAAGCTTAAAACCAGATTGTATATCACTGATTTTTCTCAAAACAAACTGAAACTTTCTCGTAATGTTTTTCTGTTCTTTCTGAATGCCAAGTCTGTTCTCCTTTTCCCTAGCACACTTTTGAACTTTGCCAGCTTTAGAACTTTGAGTGACTAACTCAGAATTATAGGTGAGAGAATTTTATGTATCCACCCATTCTGCAAAATTATTTTAAATAGATTTTTCCACTAATCATAGCTAAGAAGAATTACTTTATTTTCTGCTGGAAGGGACTGAAGGGGTTTTCTTGAGTCATCCTGTTGTGCCTGTGTATGTCCACCCCTGGAAGTTTTGTAAATAGTAACTGCTTCCAAACAGAACTGTTCCTTCAGAAAATGAAAATGTCACTTCAGAGTGAATTCAGAAAACTTAGTTGATGCTATGGAGCCGTTGAATTCTTTGAGTAATCAACTATCTATTCTGGTCAAACAGTAATCATAGAATAACAATCTGGTAGGAACATCTGGTGCCATTTGGTCCAGCTCAGAGTTTGAATACCTTCAAAGTCAAATCAAACTGCTTTAGGTCATATTCATTCAAGCTTTCAGTATCTCCAAGAGCACAGTCTTTCTGGGCAGTATGTGACTGCTTCAGAATTTTTTTTCCTGTATCCAATCATAATTTTCCATGTTGCTGGTAATAATGTCTGTTGCCTTTCATCATTTCATGGTTCAGCTCCAGGAAGAGTTTGACTCCATTTTTGTTATATCACCCCAGTAGGTAGTTCAATATAATAATGAGATTTCTACCCTCTTCCATTCCTTCTTAAAGACTGAAGACATCTTCAGCCTCAGATATTGTGTGCTTCTGCCTGCTGATCATCCTGGTGATCTGTTAGACTTGCTCCATCCAGTATGTCAGTGCCTTTTTTGTGCTGGGGAGCCTCAAATTGAGGAGAGTGCTGCACAGTGCTGAACAGAAGGGAATTATCAGCTCACCCATGTGCTGTCTTTGTGCTCACACAAGTGTGGCCTTAGCAGTGTCACCTATAGCCTGACTTGGGGTCAGCTTTTGTCTACCAGTACCTCGGGTGGTTCTTTGGTTGTTTTCTAATCAGTACAGTGCCTAGCCGATATTTTTGTGTGCATGGGGTTATTTCATCCCAGATGCAGGTCTTTTAATGTTTTCCTTTGCTAAATGTCATGATGTTTTATCAACCCATTCCTCTGGCTCACCAACATCCCTCTGAGTATCCTCCACTCTGTTGATCAGTCCCCTCAGTCTATAGCATCATTCACAGAATTGCTGAGGTCACTTTCTGTAGTGTTCTTCCGGTTGTTGAAGAAGATAACCATAACTTAAACACACAGTTGTTCTACATGCTGTACACACAAGTATTTTAAGATGAAGAAAATGGTATGTGTCTAAAAGCTGCTTACGTCTATGTAACTTCAAGCATATATGAAGTTTACTTCTGTAAGATTAGAATCCAGCCAGAATAGCAGGTAATTGCAGAAGAAACCCAGGAACATCAAATAAATAATTAGAGAGTCAATTTGGGGGGAGTGGGGAGGGAAAGAAGACATTTCATCTGGAAGGTTCCTGTTACTTCTTAATTTGTGTTTGCTTTGTCATTTCTTCACCCTCAAAAAATAGTAAGATACAGTGGACTAATGTTATTTTTGGTTTTGTTGTCAGGACTTGACAGAAGCTGAATTATATACACAACCAGCTGATCTTTTGCATCCAGTAACTTATGCCACTGCTGTGGTTTTGCTAATGTGTCTGTTGATGATCATGGTCAGTTACATATACCATCACAGGTATGAATCAAAATTACTAGACTAAAACAATTAGTTTTAACATGCTTGGGACTGACTAAGTTTTCTTTTTGATTGGGGCATGATATAGTAATATGCGTTTGGTGGTGTTTTCCCTCTAAAAATTGTTGATGAAGACTAACAGTTAAGCAAATAGCTATTTCATCTTTCTTGAGTATGATAATTTAGCTCTCATAACCATGTCTTTCCTTTGATTTTTGACTTTTGCTTCATGATGAAAGTAGAGACCACTCAAGAATGATGGTAGAATTTAACAAACTGTTCAGCCTTTTACATTTCTGTTGATGTGAAAGCTTGAAAGCCTAAAATTTTTAAATCAAGCCCCAAATAGATGTATAAAGCTGGTTAATAGGAGGATGTTTTAATTTCCTGTGATAAAGGCCAGAGATCATATTTGTTTACAAAGTATATGGTAGTCAAACAATCATTAACAGTAATTATATGTCATTTATCATGTGTATCTTGCTAGTTTCTGAAAACCAGGAATGTCAGCTATGTTTTATATTGTCTAATTTTTTTCTCTTAACAGTGTGATCAGGATCAGTGTAAAAAGCTGGCATATGCTAGTTAACCTAAGCTTTCATATTTTCCTGACATGTGTGATGTTTATTGGAGGCATAACTCAGACCAGGAATGCCAGCATTTGCCAAGCAGTAAGTAAACACACAAACACTCGAAAAAATCAGTTTCATACTTCTATATATGTATTTTCACCCCTTGCCTTCTACAGAACTTTAGTGCTATATAGGCATTCACCAGAATGTAAAATTTAGACAAAAAACTAATGTTTTGTTTTGGTTTTAGAATCATAGAATGCTTTGGGTTGGAAGGGACCTTAAAGTTATCTAGCCTAATGCCTCTGCAATAAGGAGGGACAACTTCAACTTGATCAGGTTGCTCAGAGACCCAATCCAACCTGACCTTATCTGCCACTTCTTTGGGCAACCTGTGCTTGTATTTTACCACCCACATTACTTCTGTCTAATCTAATCTTTCAGTTTAAAGCCATTACCCACTGTCCTGTCACTACATGCCCTTGTAAAAAGTCCCTCTCCATCTCTCTTGTAGCCCAGTTTAGGCACTGGAAGGTGCTATAAGGTTTTCCTAGAGCCTTCTCTTCTCCAGGCTGAACAACCTCAACTCTTTCTGTCTTCATAACAGAGTTAGAGATTCTCTTTTATTTTCAAGAAGTCGTGAAGATAAAACTAGTTCAGTACTGGAAAACCAGAAAAGTATTTCAGAAGTGCAGCAGAAATTTTTTTCCCAAAATGCTGTCACAAAAAATAAGCTTTGTCTGTTATTTTTATTTTTGAGACTTACCTATTGTAAAACTACTTTATAGGCCTGTATGTGACCTTTACAGATCATGTGAAATCTGGTATTAAACTACTTATTTCCACTTGCTCAGTATAACTGAAGGGGAGGGAGAGAGAAGTGTTTCAAGCCTGCGTGCTTTCTCTAAACAAACATCACTAGCTTTATTGAGACTTCTCTTTTTTAATGATTTGCTCTTCTGAGACTTGGCTGTCTCCAATTCAGTTGCAGTATTTTAGTATAATAGCAGTTGCTGCTTTGGAAAAATGTCAGTGGATTTTTTTTCATGTTTTCTCTTTGCATCCAGTGATTCAAAAAAAGTTTCTAATTGCTCACTGTAATATTCCATAGTGCTTTTTGTTTGAATTTACACTAGGGTTGACAGGTCAAAACGTTGCAATGAAAAATATCCCTGATCTTTCTCCTATGTACACGTACATGTGTATGCACACACACGTACACACATACTTTTTTTCCTTACATTGGAGACAGTAATCCTTCAGGAGAAATCCTGTGTTACAGATGGGCTGTTTGAAAGTTGTACTTTTACTGGTGATTGAAAATTGCAGTCATCAGGAACTAAAGTGTTACCTCTTCCATTCTGTTTTTGTGCTGTCATGACAGTGTTGCCATATAAGCAAGAACAAACAGATTCTGCTGTGAAGCAGACTTTTTATTAATGTTTGGGCTGGTTAAATATCTAATACACTTTCTCTATTTTTGCATAATATTAAAATCCCTGTCTGTATTTTGCCACCTGCTGCATACTTATCACAGTATTATTAATTTGCTGTTCCCTTACTTGTTTCAATTTGAATAATACCTGTAACACAAGACAGTTTAAAGTTGTCTTTTGTAAAATGCAGTTTCCTAAAGTGTGTGATTGATATGTAATCTGAAAAATTTTTGTTAGTAAAGTTCTTCCCCCGTTAGTAAGTTATCCTTCCATTAGAGGCAACAGTAGCTATGTAGCCATTCCAGATTGAGCTGATGCAAAAATGGGTTTGCATATCATATTTTACTTTTTTTTGAAAACTACAATGATTTGACACTTAGAACAGTCATAAAATAAGAGATGTGGTTTTTTTCCATTATGGCAAGTTGTGTGTTTAATGGTTAATATATTAACTCAGTAGAAAGGAAGTGTTTGGGAGTTAATTCTTCTTTTGTTGCTTGGTTTTGTTTTAAGGTTGGGATAATTCTCCATTATTCCACTCTTGCAACAGTACTGTGGTTGGGAGTGACATCTCGTAATATTTACAAGCAGGTAACCAAAAAGGCAAAAAGGTGTGAAGATCCTGATGAGCCACCTCCTCCACCCAGACCAATGCTGAGGTGAGCCTGTTGTTTGTTTTTGTGAGTCATTATTTCCCAGGTTGATATATTTATATTCTGAGCAGAAAATGTAACAGGTCACTACTGTTTTGTTCTTTCCAGGTCAGTAAAGTTCCTTCCAGATTTTTCTATTCCTCAGCATTATATTAAGGAGGGTGAGCTGAAGGATTGTTGGTCTTTGTGTATTACAGATGCAAAACTGTGCTGATGATATGTCAGTTAAGAAATTGGTAGTGTTTCAGCATCACACTGAGGGTCTGATAGAGACTTTAGATAGCAACACAACCCATTAAATTATCATAGAAGAAAGAATGTGCAGAACTGTATTATCACACAGCTAAAAACGCTGCAATTTCAGTAAATAAAGTTTAATATGTTTTCCAAAGATTGTTTCCAAATAATTTGAAAAATAGGGGTGTCACTTATTATCAAATGAAAATAGTGTTCTTTGTGAAGCATTCCTCGTAGAATTTTTATTTCTGAAATCCCGGAGATGGGACAAACTATGAATTTTACCTTGTGTGACATGTTCTTCGTAGAAAATACTGTCATACTTTGTTCATGTTGCCTCCTGGGCCCGGGGATATTAATTAAAAACTGCTACGCTGAAATTCTCCACAAGGTGGCAGAAGTTGATTACCTTTGATTGGTTATAGGCAAATATTTAAAGAGCTTGATTTTTGAAGTACAGAGACTGAAGAAAAACAGAAATGCTTTTCTGATTATCTTCAAGTAAAATTTGCAGTACTATATACAGCATATAGAAGTATTTAATTGGGAAGTTAGAAGGTAACTATTTATACCACTTCATTACTATATTTGCCTTCCTTAACTTTTATTATTTTTCTTTTAAGAAGAAGTAAATCTTTTGTATTCACTGTATGCTCACCACCAGCTGTGCCTTCAGCAGGATACTGAATAGCCTTTTTAACATGTTATGACTTTTTTTCCCCCTCATCCCTTATTATTTGTTTAGAAGTTCTTGCTTTGGAAAATGTTGCAATAAAATTACCTGTCTCACAGGCTCAGCTTTGCATAGACATAAACACAAACATGCAATTTCAGATCTGAACACCTCATGAGTGACAATGGTGGCAACTCTGGAGACAAGTATCAGAACAGAACAAACATGCTTTAGATTTTTCAGACTTCCTCAGTGTGCAACTTCTTGCAGATCAGGAATTTCCTCAGTTAGATAGATGTGTGATGTTTTTGCACGGAAGAGCCACAGAAAGTTGGGGTTTTTTCAGTTGTCTTCTAGGCATATGTTCAAAATAAAATTACCTGTTGTGTAGTACCCATACTGCCACAGAAATCTGCTCCATCTGGCCAGCTTCTGATTACTGCATCGAGATACAGAATAAACCAATGTCAGAATTTGATCTTTGTAGGATTCAGCAACTAAATAATACATTCAGTGTATCTCAATTTACAAGAAAGTCTTAATTTATTTCAGACTGTTGTGTGTCTCAAGTGATACAGGAGCAATTTCTAGTGAAATGTCCAGGACCATCAGAATAGGTGTCTCTTGTTGATAAAACAAACTGCTCACCCATATGTCACAGTAGTAGTTTTCACTTGTGTGTTCTGATCTGAATTTGGACTGGTTTGATGTAAGCTGCAGGACTGAGTGCCGTTAATTGGAATGATTGTCAGTAATAACTGACCTACCACTAATGAATTCAATCTGAATTCATAGAAACTGGAATGAAAAGATACTCCAACAACATATGCCCTTTGTCCTTGTGAAGGTGTATAGTTTTCATTAATACCCCCACAGGGAAGCAGGAGATGTATACTATAAAATTACAGAGTCCATTAAAATTAAAAAAAACCCCAACCTGCCATCCACCAAAGCCATCCACCCCAAAAAAATTCCAAGTAGCATGAGTTCTTATGGCTGATTTTCCTTACAGTATATATTAGGCAAGTTCATCTCTGGAACACGAGACATACCACTTACTATTTTCCTTTTAAGTTTTCATATTCTCTTCTAGCAGTTTACAACTTCTGACTGTCAGCTTTTGCTTCTTCCTTCTAATCCTGTATACTTCTGTTCAGTGTCTGCAAGTGGGAGGTGGGAGTGAGCCGCTGTGAGAGAGATGCAGCTTACAACAGGAAGAGAAAAATTGTTGTGAGGAAGACTTAGAGAAGAATTGATGTTGCCAAAGCCCAAAGCTTATTCACCTTATTTTCATAAAGAACTTACATATTTCTCAAATCCTGGAAAGCTCTTATTTCTTTCATAGTGACTGAATAAAATCCGTTGCCATGAAGCAGACATTGATATACTGGATTTCCTTTTTAGGTTCTACCTTATCGGTGGAGGGATCCCTATCATAGTTTGTGGAATAACAGCTGCAGCAAACATCCGAAATTATGGCAGCAGACCTAATGCTCCTTAGTAAGTACCACATAACTGAGAATTCTGAAAAGATTTCATAGGTTTACTTTTCTCCCAATACTTGTTGCAATTAATTCTGATTCCTCCAGAAAATGTAGCACAGCCAAGATCATTTCAATGAACTGATAAAAGATAAGTGATTTGTGAGAAGATGTTAATTTTAGTTCTTTGTTTTGTTTCTTTTACAGTTGCTGGATGACTTGGGAACCTAGCTTAGGAGCATTTTATGGACCAGCTAGCTTTATAATTTTCATAAACTGTATGTATTTTCTCAGCATATTTATACAACTAAAACGTCACCCTGAACGCAAATATGAACTTAAGGAACCCATCGAGGAACAGCAGCGTCTGGCCACCAACGAACACGGGGAACTGGCTCATCAGGATTCGTTGTCAGTGTCACTGGTTTCCACATCTGCTTTGGAGAATGAGCACAGTTTTCAAGCACAGCTTCTGGGAGTCGGCCTTACTTTGGTTTTGTATGTCACACTGTGGATCTTTGGAGCTCTGTCCGTTTCCCTGTATTATCCCATGGACCTGATCTTCAGCTGTTTCTTTGGGGCAACATGTTTATGCCTCAGTGCCTTTCTTATGGTACACCATTGCATTAACAGGGAAGATGTCAGGCATGCTTGGATAACAACTTGCTGCCCGGGAAGGAGTACGTATTCAGTGCAAGTAAATGTGCAGCCCTCCAGTTCCAGCGGAACTAACGGAGAGGCCCCAAAATGCACCAACAGTAGCGCAGAATCCTCATGCACAAATAAAAGTGCCTCAAGCCTAAAAAACTCGTCTCAAGGTTGTAAACTAACTAACTTACAAGCTGCAGCAGCTCAGTGCCACCCTACTTCTCTGCCGTTGAACACAGGTCCTCAGCTTGATAACAGTCTGACTGAACATTCAGTAGATAATGATATCAAAATGCACGTAGCTCCCTTAGAGGTACAATTTCGGACAAACGGGCACCCGAGTCGGCATCACAAGAACAGAAGCAAGGGACATCGTGCCAGCAGGCTTGCAGTATTGAGGGAATATGCATATGATGTTCCCACAAGTGTGGAAGGAAGTGTGCAAAATGGCTTACCCAAAACTCGACAAAGCAACAGTGAAGGGCACTCAAGGAGCCGAAGAGCCTATTTGGCATATAGAGAACGCCAGTATAACCAGTCCCAACAAGACAGCAGTGATGCTTGCAGTACACTTCCAAAAAGTAGTAGGAATACTGAAAAAACAATAGCTACCAACAACAAAAAAGATATTCCAAGGAAACCAATAGTGGCTGAACTGGAAAACCAACAAAAATCTTATGGCTTAAATTTAGCCATTCAGAATGGACCACTTAAAAGCAGTGGACAGGATGGACCCTTGCTCACTGCAGACAGTACTGGTAATATTAGAACTGGGTTATGGAAACACGAAACTACTGTGTAGCATTGTAATTCATTATGGGACAAGTCCATATAAACTGTGATTACACATTCCTGAAAGCTATTAACACTTTTAAGGACTGTTTACAAACTCTAGGTACTTTATGCAGGGAGGGAACAAAGATAATCTGCTGAGCAAAAGATTGTATGTGTTATTATCCTTCCTGTTCCTACAGAGATGAACTCTTGGTATTTTGTGAAATTTTTTTTGAAACATCAGTCTTTAGAGATGCAGAACACAACTTTGTACATTTTTATTTTTTACCTGTAACCCTGCAGATATGTCCACAACACATTTCAAATTTGTATTTAAATGTATAATAAATAGTACTTTCCCAAGCAGCCAAAAGTTGGACTTATTTTTTGGGGTTTTTTAAAATATTATTGCACTGAATGCCATCTTGATTTTACTAGTTCAGTATCTGAAAATTAGGAGCTTCAGTTACTAAAGAAAATGCTTGGTGTCTCAAACAGACAATACAAATAGCTCAATCACTTTCATAAGGCCTAGAATTTGGTTGAAATGAAGAAGCTGTGTTTTAAAGGGATTTTTTAGTATACAGGCAACTTGTTTTCTCCAAATCATTGTCTTGTACTTGCTGCATAAGTTAGTTATATTTTTAGATAGTTGTGACTTACTTTATTGCAATTGTACAGAATTTTCGCTTACTCAATAATGTTTTTGAATAATAATCTGTTTTGCCCTCATAATTACCTGACTCATATGGAGTTTTTTAAATTTTTTTTAATCATTTGTATTTGAGAAGGTTATGAACAGTCACAGACAACAGATACTTATTTGCAAAGGTCATCAGTAAATACCAGTCAAAACACATGCTGTTGCAATAGTGTGGGAGAATAATAGTGCAGGTGTTTTGTTAGGTAGGCATGGGATAACCTGGTAAGAATATGATAAGTATGCAAAATCAGAGTCTTCGAGTTCAGTGTCACGGTACAAGCTGACTTGTGAGAGAGCATTTTGAGTTCCGAGTTCAATTTTCACTCCCTTGCAGAATAATCTCTAATACTACAGTGTCTGTGTTTAAAAAAAACACAAGGAAGTTTCAGTAGCAGAACTATGTAAATCAGGTTATCAGTTTAAAAAGCGTGTAAATTCCTGCAGAACAAATAGCTCATATTTTACAATAATGTACAATAATGCAATTTGTTACAATAATGCAAATTTTGAAAAATAAAAGTTCTAGTTAAGCTAATTTAAATTTAATTACAGTGTAATTAAAAATAAGAGTCAAGCTAAAAATACTTTATATAAAATGAAATCTAGAATAGCTTATTTGTCAATTATGAGCTTTTTTTATACTTATAGTTTTCTATACTTGTTGACACCTCAATGTAAACAAGATCATATTTTGTGTCATCCTGCTGCTGTGACAAATTTGATGTTGCAGTTGCAGAGTAATGCTTGGGGTTTTACCTGTTTCTGGTACTGATACCCATTTTTCTAAAACCACATGTATTAAATAAAAATATGTTTGTTAATGCATTCCCTGAGATTACAGTTAACAGCACTCTGACATGCTGCCTCTCTACTCCCCTATACATGTCACTTGTATTGCACACCGTGAGGCCATCACAGTTGCTGGAGATCCTTGGCTCATCTGTTGCTTTTTAAATGCCTGGTTTAGCTCTGAACTTGAGAATTGTCCATCTGGCTGCAAACTCTAATGATTTTTTCACGTATGCCTCCTTGCAATCAACTCCTTTTTCCTACTGACACTTTTTTTCCTCTCCTCAATCCCTATCCTTGGTAAAACCATCAAAAGTTTCTTAGCCATAAACCAGGGTGTGCTTATACTCTTCTTCTTTTAAACCTGGTGACACTTGCTTTTCAAAGTCTGTTCTGCCACTACTATAAATGGGTAAATACACTCACTGTTATCGGGGTGACAACCAGCTTTAACTACTGCTGTTTCTAGTCTCTCCCTTTTTTTTTTTTGTAGATAATACAAACTACCCCACTTTGTGTTATCTGCTCTCCTTTAGGTATCTGATTAATGATTGTAGTTATTTTCTCGTTCCACAGAAGGCAAAACTGGGTTTCTTGTGTGGTGGGGTTTTTTTTCCATTGGAATGATGTAGGTGTTTTTTCATTCAAAGTTTAATTACAGCTCTGAAAAGAAGCTTGCTTTACACTGTTCGGAAAGAAAATATGAAAAATCCTGAAGATTTTGTGTTTCCAGTTTCCTTAATAAGATACTATACTGAATAACTCCACTTTTTTTTTTTTTAGAATCTTATAACCTGCCCTCCATCTTTCTGTTACATAGGTTCTTTCAATTTAAGATTCTTCATGAGAAACACAGCAGATAAGTGTATTGTGCAGTGTTTGTCTGCCTGTATCAGAGAATAATGTCTTAATTTATTATCATCTGAGCCAAAGTACTTCTTATATTAAAAGCAAATGTAGCTATGTATATAGTGGTGACTGAACTGAGCATGTTTATTAGTGCAATGATTTAAGAAATATTTTTACATTAATGACCCTATATGCACCAAGGCTAGTGATAGTTATTAGGTACTTAGAGAAGAGCTTATTCTTCATCATCTCATCAAAACAGGGCAAACCATCAAGCTATGCAGAAGTATTACACATAGAATTAATTTTAAAGGCATTTTCAGGATCAGTTTTAAGAAAGACTGAACTAGTGTTCAATTCCAACAAAACCTGTGCAAAAGGTGGCAAATGCTATAGGCAATGGGCAAGGGGATTCTAAAGGATAACTGATCTTACTCTAAGTCCCTGTCATACCTTGTTCAGATAATAATGAATCTGGCTCTTTTGACATTTTTCCACATTATATATGGATTATATTTTTCTAGCACTATAATTTTAAAGATAATATAAAGTAGGCTTAAATTATTTGTATTAGTGTAGACAGCTGATTAAATATAATCTAAAAGTATCTGAGTTTGGGCTACAGACTATATCTGAAGAGCCCTCAATGATTAAATTGCTGCCAGTTGTGCAACATACAAATTCGTCTCGGAGATGATTGCTGCTCTTAGCACATGCCCTTACACTTACTTCTGCAATTCCGTTTTCATGACCTGCTGCACTTGGAATGGGATAGGATCAAGTTGCTGGGTTTGACTTCTAGATCCAAAAATGTATTTTTGCCACCAAGAGGAAAACCCCTACACCAAATAACAACCCACAAACAGCAATTACAAAGCATTCAGTTGTCTAAGATGCATTAGATACGCTGCCAAATAGCTTTAAAATGTAGATATTTTATATATATTTGGGTTTTGCTTAAATTATTTTCTTTGGTAATATCTTTAAGTTTCTTTTGTTGAGTGCCTATCCGTATGGTAGCTGTAAGGCCAGATACAAGCTAAAAGCTGCTCTCTTGAAATCAGGAAAATAGAATAGCAATCAAAACTGAGTCATACGCTTGTCAAAATGTTCCTTAAAGAATTCTTAAATGGTAACTACTCACAAGAAGGAAAAATAGAACCCAAATCCTAACAACACTGTCCTGTTGCAGAGCTTTGTACAATGCATCCAAGATCAATTCAGACTATCAAACCGACTATTAGAGGCTGCAGTAATTACCTGAATGGGTCCATACATTGCAAATTGTTTAACACAGTTTTTGAGTACAGAGAATGTCAGACCTGTAGCTGTGCTCAGATACACTTAACTAGAACACCCAACAGTGACAAGTCTGAATTGGGTAACCAAGTAGCCAAGTACTTAAAATCTTATTCCATTTGTTGCTTAAAATTTGAGTTGTGGTAGCCGTACTATATTATACGTAAGTATTTTTGTTATTTAATACATGTGGAAATGTAGGAAATACATGTAGGAAATAAAACTCACTTTTGGATTAGAGAGACACTTTTGAAAAAACTATCATGAGCAAAGAGATGTTTTTGAAAAGGACTTTTCACTTGCTTGATGAACATCTGCAAAGACAATTAGCACATGCAACAGTCATTGCTTGAATGTATAATTAAGACATGAAGATGCAGATATTTTGCCTTTTACTGAATGAAGAGTTCTCTGTATCACTGTTTGTTCAGACATAATGTGTTATCAGAACACCTTTGATGCTAATTATTTTAAATTTGTGTAGGTTAAGGAATATTTCAGGTGTTGGAAGAAACAATTACTTTTTGCTAAGTTTTTGTTTTTATTTAATTTCATTTTTTAGCAGTTCTCTGTTAACACTGCTGCTTGCTGAAGCTATTGATGTGTAGTATTGCTGCTTTTTCACATCCCTGAGCAAAGTGAAGGATCAGTTTGCATTGGTTTTGTTGGGTCACAATTTCTAGATCTTAGAGATTAATGGCATAGATATCTGTGAGAAATACGGTTCTTGTAGTTCAAGATTAACATAAAATAATTTAAATGTGATTTTTTAATCCTTGTCTTCAAAAATGGGGTCTATTGTGTTGTAGGAGTTTGGTTTTAGTTTAAATTAGGTTTATATACCTTCTCTGGTTCCAGGATTGGTTGAATATGCACATTTGGGGAGATGGAGGAGGAAATTGAGTGGTGGGATCTATGAATACAGATATACAATTTATTTTATATGGAAGACTTAAATTTTGAAAACTGTTAGATTAGTAAGATTGTAAGTATGGCAAAGTTTTTCCTCTGTAATACTAGCCCACCAACACCACCTCTCCGCTGAAACTTGCCTCCATACAAGCAGGTAGGAAATAGCCGTCCTTGGCTACAGGTGGTGAGGAAAGCGGCCTCTGCCTGATCTTCACTGATCAGCCACTTCTTAAAAAGCCCTTGCGGAGCTGGTGCTGCTGATCAGGCCTCTTCGCTGCCTGCAGTTGTGGCTCACTCATATATCATAGACCAAATCTTGAGTCAAAAGAAGGATGACTCTACAAAGTTGCAAGATAGAAGCTGAACAGTCGGTGCGGAGATGGAGCTTACTGACCTCAAAGCATGCCTCACAGCCAGCTGATTACATATCTAATGTGACTTTAGTTTAAAAAATCCAAACAGCCTTTAATCAGCAATTGCTAATTGGGATGGAAGTTCTTGAAAATTAATCACAGTTAAATCCCAAAATATACAATTTGACTATACAAATTAAGTGCTTAGCTGAACATGGCATTTTCTGAAGTCAGCATTTACTCAGTACAATAATACCTATAAATCTTATATTCTTTGAGCTTTGTGGTGAAATAGATCAGGCAAGACTTAAGATACTAGGGAAATAAAATTGAGGAGAAATTTTTAGTTCCTATTTGATGAAGATGCTTGAAATTTTGCACTTGATACTTAAATGCTGAATATAGTGTTAATATACCTCTTCAAATGGGACATCACTGGAAAGCCTCAAATCCAAGTTACATGAATGAAAGAATACTAAATGTTAAAATAAGCATCTAGAGATTGTTTCAGAGACATAGTTTTCATAAAATGAGTCTTGTTTTTTTCTTTAGTATAAAGGTTTTGTGTTCTAAGTAAATTTCAGCTTTCACCTGGAGGAGGAAAACTTCAGCCCAGTTGCAAAGGCTAAAAAGGGCCTGCTGTGTAGTCACTATGGGATTCTTGATACGATGAACTGTTTCATATAATACATACCTGACATTTTCCCTTTATTCACTTAAAGTTCTATTTGATGACTATGATCATTCTGTTTCTGTCAGCATCAAATGTTCCTCCTGCAACCTTGTTCCTCATCTATTACCAGCTACACATTAACACAGATTGTCTGCTG